TTTGGGTGCCTGAGTGATCCCAAGAGCTATGTTGTCAGGGGCTAATGCCCCTGGTAGGGTCTCCCAAGGCAAAAAGGTCTTAGGTGACAGGCCAGACTAAGTGCGGTTCAAAAACCCCTTATGAACTCCATTAGATCGAGGACCGTAACGTCGCGCGGTATGGCTCACCTCCACGCACAGCTGGGGCTCTGGAACTCAACTTCTAGTGAAGGGCTGGACTTTCTTCTACTCTGAAGTTGCCCACGGTGTGAGGCGGTGGGCTAGTGTGTGCTTGCTTTTAGCTCCCCAATTTAGCCACCATGTGTTGGAGTTTTCCCCAGTAAACAAGAGGGTCACCTCCCTGCGCCTTAGGGTCAGGGATAGGTCTCTCACTGTGGTTTGTGCCTATGGACCAAACAACAGTGTAGAGTACCCGGCCTTTTTGGAGTCCTTGAGAGGGGTACTAGAAGGAGCTCAGACTGGGGACTCCATTGTTCTACTGGGGGACTTCAATGCCCACATGGGTAATTACATTAATATTTGGAGAGGCGTGATTGAGAGAAACGGCCTCCCTGATCTGAACCCGAGAGGAGTTCTGTTATTGGACTTCTGTGCTAATCACAGTTTGTCTATAACAAACACCTTTTTTGAGCATAAGGGTGTCCATCAGTGCACATGGCACCAGGACACCCTAGGGTGGAGTTCAATGATAGACTTTGTGGTTGTATCATCCGATCTCCGACCACATGTCCTGGACTCTTGGGTAAAAAGATGGGCAGAGCTGTCAACTGATCACCACCTGGTGGTGAGTTGGATCCGCTGGCAGGGGGGAAAGCTGGACAGACCTGGCAGGCCCAAACATATTTTGAGGGTTCTCTGGGAATTTTTGGCTGAACCTCAAGTCAGAGGAATTTTCAACTCTCACCTCCGGAAGAGCTTTGACCAGATCCCAAGGGAGATTGGAGACATTGAGGCAGAGTGGTTCATGTTCTCCAATTCCATTGTAGATGCGGCTGTGAGGAGCTGTGGCCGTAAGGTCTGTGGTGCCTGTTGAGGCGGCAATCCAAGAACCCGGTGGTGGAAACCAGAAGTAAGGGATGCCGTCAAGTTGAAGAAGGAGTCTTACACAGCTTTGTTGGCTTGCAGGTCTCCCGAGGGAGCTGATGGGCACCGGCAGGCCAAGCATGCTACAGCACGGGCGGTTGCGGTTGCGGAACTCGGGCCTGGAAAGAGTTCGGGGAGTCCATTGACGAAGACTATCGGTTGGCCCCAAAAAGATTCTGGCAAACCACCCGGTGCCTCAGGAGGGGAAAGCAGCTCCACATCAACACTGTTTATAGTGGAAGTGGGGAGCTGTTGACCTTGACTGGGGATGTTGTCGGACGGTGGAAGATATACTTTGAGGATCTCCCTAAACCCCCTGACATGTCTTTCATTGAGGAAGCAGAGACTGTGGATCAAGCTGATGGTTAAACCTAGAATTCAGGAGGAACAATGCCGTGCTCGTCTGGGCCGTGGCACACTGAAGCAGCTGTATACTCTCATCAGGGTGCTCGAGAGTTCATGGGAGTATGCCCAACCAGTCCACATGTGTTTTGTGGACTTGGAGTAGGCATTCGACCGTGGTTCTCGTGGCATTCTGTGGAGGGTGCTGTGGGAGTATGGGGTCAGAGACGCTTTGTTAAGATTTCTCTCGTCCCTGTATAAACAGAGTAGGAGTTTGGTTCGCATTGCCGGCAATAAATCAAACTCATTTCCTGTTTGTCACCAATTCTGTTCAAAATTTTCATGGACAGAATTTCAAAGCGTAGCCTTGGGCTGGAGGGGGTCTGGTTCGGGGACCACATGATTTCATCTCTGTTATTCGCAGATGATGTCGTTCTGTTGGCTTCTTCGAACATGGACCTTCAGCATGCACTGGAGCAGTTTGCTGCTGAGTGTGACGCAGGAATCAGCACCTCCAAGTCTGAGGCCATGGTGCTCTACCGGAAATAGGTGGTTTGCCATCTCCAGGTTGAAGAAAAGTCCTTACTCCAGGTGAAGTTCAAGTATTTTGGGGTTTTGTTAACGAGTGAGGGAAGGATGGATAGTGAGATTGACAGGCGGATCAGTGCAGCGGCAGCAGTAATGCGCTTGATGTAGCGGTCCGTTGTGGTGAAGAAGGAGCTGAGCCGAAAGGCAAATCTCTTGATTTACCGGTCAATCTATGTTCCTACTCTCACCTATGGTCATGTGCTTTGGGTCATGACCGAAAGGACAAGATTTCGGATACAAGCGGCTGAAATGAGTTTCCTCCGTAGAGTGGCAGTGCGCACCCTTATAGACAGGGTGAGGAGCTCAGTCACCCAGGAGGAGCTTGGAGTAGAGGCGATGGTCCTTCACAACGAGAGAAGTCAGCTGAGGTGGCTCTGGCATCTGTTTTCTAGCTAGGGAGGTGTTCCAGGCATGTCCCACCGGGAAGAGGCCTCGGGGAAAACCCAGGACATGCTGGAGGAACTTTGTCTCTCGGCTGGCCTGGGAACGCCTCAGGATCCCCCTGGAGGAGCTGGAAAAAGTGTCAGGGGAGAGGGGAGTCAGTGGTTCTCTCCTAAGACTGCTGCCTCCGCGACCCTTGTAGCCTAGTGCTTTTGCTTCAAAATGATGTGAGAATCATCTTGTTCACTTGCTCACATAAAACAATACAATGAATTAAGTTACTGAGTTACTGAGTTACTTAAGTTACTGAATTACTGAGTTACTTTCTGTGTGAAAATGGTTTATGTGAGAAGGCGTGATCTATCATTACTATGCAGTGAGTCACAACAGAGAAGACAAAGACCTGCATAATGAGCTGCATAATGAGCCATTAGACAGGTATGTGACTAAGAGTTTCAAGAAAGAAAAGAAAAAAATAAGTTTATACATTTTTTTTTGTTTGGAGTTTATTTAAAATATTTTTATCTATCACACAAAATAACTCGATACTAGTTAACCTAATAAACTCAGTTACCACATAGGAATTTTAAACAGAACACCACCTGTATTGTAAACAAGTATTTATTTTTATAATATACTGTACATTTAATAATACTAATACATATAATAATGCACACATATATATATATATATATATATATATATATATATATATATATATATATATATATATATATATATATATATTATTATTATTATTATATTATATTATATTACTATATATAAGTTTATTTCATATAACATTACATTTTTCATTATATAGGCCTATGTTTATAATTATACGCTATGCGTTATAGGAGACACTTTGTAAAGCAATGAAACTATCAGTGGCCTGTAAGGACATATTTCATACATATCATAAAGGTTAGAATAAAAGACCTATCGACAGGAATTCTGTACTTTGCTGGGTCTAGACGTTCTTCAAAATGCACGCACTCGTCATCAGAGTCGCGCTCTTCCTTTGAGGAGAAGGTAAATTCTTTGTCACTGTTTAGTACTGTGCTTCTTCACCCATGTTACGTGCCATCATTCAAACAAAAATAAGTAACTATAATAAAGCTTGTCGTTTGATGCCATGTCTCGGGGAGCGTGTACATTATCACCTGGCTGGCTCCCTTCAGTTCATTTCCATATGAACTGCGCCTTTACTGCTGGCGGGATCACGTTCGCTGTAATGAGGCGACAAGAGAATCCGTACCAGTCCTTACTATTATACGGATTACATGAAAGGAGATTATTTGTTTTCGACTTGAATTGGTTAATGCAAAAGTAGACATATCAATCTCTTTAGAAACATCTCTCATGTTACTTTGGCGAGTATTTGCTGAGTTTCAGTTCATTTTAATGACGTGTTTTTTCTGACACAATCTACTGTTGCGCGCTTCTCATGCAGGCTATTTGTAATATCAAAGCCTCGTGGGCGTGGTCGCATTAACTCTAATGAGCTCAGACTGAGAAACTAGACATAGCGTTGGTTTCATACTGATTACTTTATCAAACAATATTTGTTTTCAACATGCATGCATTTAAAAGTAGACACTTCAAGCTTTATAAAGATATGTGTCTCATGTCTGGGTGTTTTATTTTCACGGAGTTTCAGCACATTTTACTGACGCGTTTCTAAAAACAGTTCACGGAGAGAGAAAAGACAGATTACCTACACTGTTTATTATCCTTGTTTTGCAAAAGCACACACATTTGTTTTTGTTGTGAGTGTACACATTTAAAACTAGACACCTAACAGATTCAATTGATGTATTGATTTTATCTGTACAATCAAAACTGAAAGTGTTATTTAGGTTAATTTCAGCTCAGTGAGGTAAAAACTTGTCAGAACGCGTATACGAGGTACCAATCCGGGCCCAAAAGGGACCACACCAGTGACAGCTATCATTCTTTTATTTCTGAGAGTGTATCTCAATGAAATGCACCCTATTTGTTGACCCTAATGACTGAACCTAAAATTAGAAAAAAAATGTCTAGGTGTAACTTTTTTTCTGTGACCTATGCTAAATATATCTCAGTTGTGTGTATGGCCGCCCCCACATTTAGAGGGCAGGATGCGTGTCAGGTCCTGTCATCTTCTGTCTTTCTGAGAGAGTGAGGGCCAATTGAGCAACAGGAAGTCTGTGGTTCAGCAAGCTGCTTTCAGTGCTGATACAGCGCTCTTGACCCTGTTTCTCTTTGCTTGTTCAATGCCTTTATGTGCACAATCAGGGGCTTAATCTTTGCGTGCTGCTTTTGCCAACCAGCAGCAGTAAGCTTATGCACACTGCACATGCATATGCGTCACATTTGTTTGGCAGGATATGAGATAATTTATGCTGAATTTGTCTAAAAATACGGTTCAGGGTGTTGCTTGCAATATGAATAACAAATTAGGCAAAAGATTTTAAAGGACTTTCCCTTCATTGTATCCACACACACCCACTCAGCACACTTCTAACTTTAAACTTTCCTCTGCCTCTCTCTCTCTCTCGCGCTCTCTCTATTTCTCTCTCTCGTTTTCTTGTCCCTCCCTCGCTTTCACTTAGCTTTGAGGCAGAGTTGCAGTTGTCCTCAGTGACAGCCGCAGCAGTTAGAGGAAGTGTACAGCTCTCACTCTGACTGTCTGGTCAGAACAAGTTTTTTATAAATGAATGCTTTATGATGTAGTCTGTTAATGTTCTCACAAGGACAGATGGTAAGTCAGTTGACATTTTTTTTCTTTTCTTTTCTTTTCAGATTCCAACTTTTAATTTTCCTTGTAGACAGTTGCTGCTTAGTAGAGTTTGAAATCTGATTCTAAGTTCAGCAGCGAGAAACCAAGCTGTCGGAAAGTTGCATAATTACTGTGTCGGTCACTAAAAAAGGCTTCTTTGTTTAGTTTCAGTTATTCAGTTTACAGGTTTGTTTATTTCTCTCTTGCACCTGTTTTGACTAGCTGGACTTTGCAGTATTATATTTTCTTCTGCTGCTTTTTTCCTCACTAGTTTCTTGGAAGTAGATTCTAACTTAAAGGTCATTAGGTTGTACTTAAAGTGTAGTTACAGTAGTTGCATTCCATTACTGCTCAGTTATAAACTGTGTCTGGGAGGGTGAAACGAAGGGGGAATTTTCCTTTTAATCAGTAGTGGGTAAAAGTGCACCTGTCGGTTCACCTTGGTCATGTCTGAGTGTGTTTGCTGTGTGGTAAACATCTTTGGCTTTTATTTACAGTAAAGGGTTCACTGAGCTCACACAGGGTGCATATAATAATGTGCTGAATAATTTAATGTTATACCTGCTGTGTTTTATTAGTTCAAAGAATATGCAAAGTCAGAGGTTTAAACATAAAAGTGAGAGTCACGGTATGATGTCCAGCACATGGATAGTTCAGCAAAACATTCACTCATCTGGATGTTAGTTTAAATCTGTTTGGATAATAAAATAAATTACATTAAATTACATGTGATAATTTGACTCACAAATGAAGACAATAGAAGTAAAGCAATAAAAAAACAGCAATGTGTAAAAATATGACGATTATCAGTTAAGCAAATGAAGTACGCTAATTTTATGTACAAAAAAAAATCTAAATTATGCAGTATTCTTTGGACACTACCATTCTTGTTATTTTAAGCTTGCTGAAGAAATAACATGAAGAATGACATAAGAGGGATTAATGACGAATAAATATTCTTTACTAAAGTTTAAGTATTATTTTCTCTTTTCTGTACAACGTTCCTGATCCTTTGTTTTTGTATTTGTGTCAGTAGGCAGAGTGGTGATTTTTTCCGTTTACCTCATTATGTAAGGAACAAGCTACAATATGGCATCCTGGAAAAATTCTTGCAGTATTAATGTTGTGGCAGGTGAGAGTTATGCCTTTAGAAAAGTGATAGTATATTACAGTATGGGTGTATAGTTTGATGATACATGATAATTACGACAAATAGTCCTAATCAGTGACAAAAGATTATTGACATATGTTTTAATCGATTTGTAAGTCTCTAAATATGCACTTCTTTACAATTTTTTCTGGTCAATACAATTATGTACGGTTGAAGTCAGAATATTTCCCAGATGATGTTTAACAGATCAAGGACATTTTCAGGGTATGCCCGATAATATTTTTTCTTCTAGAGAAAGTCTAATTTGTTTTATTTCTGCTAGAATAAAAGCTGTTTAAAAAAAAAAAAAAAAAAAAAAAACATTTTAAGGTCAAACTTATTAGCCCCTTTAAGCAATCCCCCCCCCCCCCCCCGATAGTCTACAGAACAAACCATTGTTATACAATATATTGCCTAATTACCCTGACTTGCTAGCTAACCTAATTAACCTAGTTAAGCCTTTAAGCTGTATAGAAGTGTCTTGAAAAATATCTTGTCAAATATGATGTACTGTCATCATTGCAAAGCCAAAAGAAATCAGTTGTTAGAAATGAGTTATTAAAACTATTATGTTTTGAAATGTATTGAAAAAGTCAGGGGGGCTTATAATTCTGACTTCAACTGTAATTAATCGAACAAATCTAAATGTTTTGGACCAGAAATAAGCAGCAATGTGGTGGACAAGCCAAGACAATTAAAAATACACTTTTTTTAGATGAATATTTTAACAGTTACAAATAGTGATGGGCAAAGATAAATCACGATTAATCACATCTAAAATGAAAGTTTGTTTCGACTTAAGATACTTGTGGGTATTATATATATATATATATATATATATATATATATATATAATACGCATATGTAAATATACATAGCTTTTTTCATATATATTTTATATCTAAACATCAACATTTTCTTAAATGCGTGCATACATGTGTGTATTTGCAGTATATTAACACAATAAATATACACAGACAGTACACATATAGTATATTATGTCAAAAGAAACATTTATTCTGGATACGATGAATCTTTGCCCAACAATAGTTACAACAGTTGTCAACTTCACATAAAATTCTAGAAATGTCATTCATTGCAGAATCACAGTATTTGTTCAAATAAAAAGACCCCAGGTTTTTATAGACATATATATTTTAATGAAACAGATGATTAAACAAATGTTATTTAATGACCCATGTTGTTGTCTTTTCTTGAAAAAGATGAATATGCTGCTATTGAATCTGAAATCTACCGTAGTCTGCAAACCATTCTGAGAGAAATGGATGCTGAACAAACAGTTGTCAACAAAGGTATGATTCCAACTCATCAAAGTAATTAAAATATAAACCTTAAGGTCAAAGCATGCCACAGTGTTTCAGAGATCAAATATAAATAGTGACATGTGTTTCAACACTGATTTGACGCAACCCTAGAATTAACACGCACATTATCTTCTGCTAGTCAACTTTGTAATAGTAACAGCACTGTCATGGTTACGAAAACAGTTTCTATATCTGCATAACAGAGCAAACACAAATGTTATCAGATAAATATCATATCAGATAAAACTCAAATGTTTTTTTCTTATTTCCTACAGTCCTTTGAAATCACCATTGAAGATAATTATGCTAATGTATGATCTTAAAGTATACTTTTATCTAGGACAATTCAGATATTTAGGATTTTCAAATGTTGACTACTATACACTGTGGCACCTCAACCACCCTAAAGAGCCACTTAAGAAACTAGTTTTGAATAAGAATGATAAGAGCATGGCTTTATACTGTCTGAGATCTTAATTAGATAAACACATGTTTGTAAGTAACACTTAGTCTAGCTGAAAAAACACAAATGGACTGCAATCTACAACATAATTATTGTGCTACTTATAAATGCCATGTCAAGCAAGCCATTGATGTTTTAAGACATCAATATAGCTGAAAAACTGTGATGCTTATTTCAAACTGTGATGTTTATTCCACACTTGTCTAGCTTTCACAAATGACACATTCTGGCATGTATTGAGAATTGCTAATTTTTGTTCCTAATGCAGGGATGCTGAGATGGACGTTACACAAGAAAGTGCAGGACAGTTCTCTCAGGAGTCTGGCTCTGGTGAAGGTCACCATTAAAGAACTTGAAAGAGTGAGTCACTATAGTTTCTTTGGCATTGTTGAAACATTCATTACTATTTTCATTCCTGTTCAGTGCTGTTACTTAGAAAAATATTTATAGTGTTTACAATGAGAACAAAGTTTATTTGAAGGCACCTGACTAAATGGCAATTCAATTTTATAAGGAGTTTAAACACAGTTGTATGACGACAGTCTATGAATATAGACAGCCTCTAATGGTAAAATGGTATTTATTATGTTTTTTCAAACACACTTGATATAATCAGTCTGCAGAAACACTTTGATTGACACTCTTTCTTTGTACGTGCAATAAGAGAAGGAAAGCTCCACCCATTAGTGAAGATCTCTCCCTCGTTAGCTTACACAACCCTGAGTGAGAAGCAGCCGTCTATCATTACAGTTTTGAATCTGCTGTTATGGTGACACACAGGTGTTTGTAGCTCCACCCTCTTTTAAAAAGAGTACAATCTCATTTGAATTTAAAGTTACAGTCAACAAAATGACACAATTTGAATCAAAGCCTATAAGGGGTAGTTTTAAAGAGTTATAAAACATGTGTGTGGTATTTAGAGCTGAATCTTCACACACACTCTAAGGATTTTAGAAACTTATATTTTGTAAAAAGTGGCATAATAGGTCCCCTTTAAAGACTCAAAATGATCATCTTTTACTGCAGAAATAATAATCTGTGAATTCCTTATAATTGTTCACAAAAATGCAGTAATTAACAAGTAATAACAGTCACTATTAACTCATAATTATGTCATGCTTTGAAGGTTTCTAACGTTAATGTTGGCTACCATAAACTACGTATGAACAACACTTGTGCAGCATTTATAAATCATAGCTCAACATTTACTAACTTAAGATAATGCATTGTGAGTTAACATGAACTAACAATAACTTTATTTGTATTAAATAAACATTAACTGGTATGAACACATACTGCAATAAATGTATTGTTCATTGCTTGTTCATGTAAGTAACTATGGTAATCAACATTAACTAATACAACCTTATCGTAAAGTCTTACTCATAATGTCAATTTTTATAATTATTCATTTGATTTATTTATTTATTTACTTATGTATTTTTTTAAAGACTATAGACAGTAAATGTAATTTTTTCAAACCTTATTTGTGCACGTAGGCTGAAAGAACTGATTGCAAGAAACATCTTATTCCTCTGCTGAATACACTCATCTATGCAGTGATGCAGGTAAGAGAAACAATGCCTCCTTTCAAACCTTTATTATTGTTTTCATTATTTTTCTTAATTTCAATACTGAATTTTGGTTTTCTTCAGGATCCTAACTTTACATCTGGTGACATTCCAAAACAGCGACAACTTTGTTTATGGCATACAAATGTCACCGCAATCAAACAATGACACGTAATTGTTAGCATAAAATGAATTGCTCCAACAAAATGTACTTGACACAGTGATTAGGACATACTGTAAATGCATACACAGTAGTAAATGATTACAGGTGGTCTGGATTATTTAATCAGACTCCAAACCCATTGGTACTTCACTGCTTTTGTCATATTGTTTATGTTTTATTTTTTTACAACACAGAATGGCCATACTAATGTTGTTTAAATTCATTTGTAATCCATGCTTCTGAAATTTTGGACATTTTTTTTTCACCCACAGAGAAACAAGTCAGAGAAATAAGTGTCAGTTTGTTAATGTGCACAAAAGTGTAACTTTCAGAAGAATTTGAACTTTTATTATGTATTGTTGACATAAATTCAGAGTATCGGCTTTTATTCCCAATTAATATACAGACACACTAATTAAATTTGCTCCACAGGTCCCTTCCATACGACTTAAAAACGATATCTATAAATGTTGGTTGACTAACGTCCTGTATTTCACCTTTGTGTGCGTGTGTGTTCTCAGACTGTATACATGCCCGATGACCTCTATAAAAGGGTTTATGACTTCTGCAAGAGGTTGTTGACTCTGCCTCAGCCGTACTGTACTGTGGGCCTCAGTTATGCTGGACAAATGAAAACAGAACGATTTTCTCCAGGTTAGTCAGATCTTTCATTTGTCAAAGTAAATGTGACAAGTGTTTAGATCTCTCTTGATAATAGATTTCCTGTTGGGTGGTATCCAAGGAAAAAAACTATCAGTTAAGTTATAAACAAGAAACTCTGATTCTAAGTCTGAAGTGCATTGCATTTGTTTGTCCTGGCATTTTTCTCGCAGGCATTTTGTATCAGAGAAGGATAATTGCAGAACAAAATCTAAGAAATGAACACTATCCTCAGCAGGAAAGGTGAGTTGAAGGTGCACTTTTATTAGTTCATTTCCTGATCTGCTAACTTTTGTATGTGTGCTTTAACATCATAGTCTTTCTCCTCATCAATAAGTAACATACAGAACACAATCAATAACAAAACGTTTACTATAAAATCTGCCTCAAATTCAGACAATGCAGTATGCTCTATGCATTAACTTAACCATGACAATAGTCGTAATATTCTTGATATTTTGACACTGTCCCTCAAAAAAGAGAGTATGTTATATGCTTTAATGAGTACAGGGCAGAAAAATTAACCTCTTTCATTCTTATATTATGCTTATTGTCTGCAAAATGAGGTGTCTTAACTTCAGTTATAATGTAACCTAAACTATTAAAGTATTTAGGCAGATTCTGTTTGTTAAAAGTCATCTTTACACATCATATTTAAGGCTGCTCTGTGCCTGCTCAAAACACTGTTACTATCAGACTAAATAATGCCTGTTCAGACCTTAATTCATTCCTTCTAATAAAAGTACACACCTCTATTTGCTGCATGGATACATTTAAGCCACGTTTTACAATAGATATATACTAAATGGTACTTATAGTGCATATAATCACTCATAAGCATTTTTGTGCCACCATTGCAGTGCAAATTTATCAAAACGTGCAGTTGAAGTGAGAATTGTTAGCCTCCCTGTTTATTATTTCCTCAATTTCTGTTTGACAGAGAGATTTTTTTAAACACATTTCTAAACATAATGGTTTAATAACTCATTTCTAATAACTAATTTGATGACAGTAAATAATATTTTACTATATATTTTTCAAGACACTTCTATACAGCTTAAAATGACATTTAAAGGCTTAACTAGTTAATTAGTTTAACTAAGCATAACGTAATCAGGCAAGTTATTGTATAACAGTGGTTTGTTCCGTAGACTATTGAAAAAATTTATAGCTTAAAGGGGCTAATAATTTTGACTCTAAAATGTTTTTTAAAAATGTAAAACTGCTTTTGTTCTACACAAAATAAAACAAATAAGACTCTCCAGAAGAAAAAATTCCTTATGCTAAAATTTCTGACTTCAACTGTAAGTGGATGTCCATATTAATGATTATGCACTACAGGTCTGATTTCTCGACTGGGAGAGTTTTGTGAACATGGTTACTTATAGAGCTTTGTTGTCATTTGTCATTTTGTCAGTTTGCATTGCAACCAGGGCCTAACTTTGCTTTATATGTTTATATTAGCATACAAGTTTACTGATTGTTACATTATACTCCTAAGAGGTGTTCCCCTTCGGGGGGAACTCCAGCACTATAAGTGGATTGATTTACTAATCCATGTATGGGAGGATTCGGTTCAGAAGCCGCTCGTCTGAAAGAGTATTGAACAGGCCAATTAAGAATGAATTGGCAGCGCAAGCCTGCGCAGGTGTGCGGCATATGCGATGTCCACACTTGAGGTCCAGGAACGCCACCTCTGGCTAACCCTGGCAGATATGCACGATGTTGACAAAGTTCACTTTCTTGACGCGCCCATATCCCAGGCTGGCCTGTTCGGCGACACCGTCGGTGAATTCACCCAGGAGTTCAAGGCGGTGAAGGAGCAGTCGGATGCGATGGGCAAAGTCTCCTATCGGCGGGGCCGTAAGCCCGCTCCATCCCCGGCCGAGCCATCCACCTCCGCTGCTCCTCGTCGAGCACGCTGAAAGCCGGTAGCCCCTCCTGCCCAGGGCACCGCTAAGTCCGGTAAACGGACCGCGAAGCGTCCCTGAGACAGGCCATCCGGAGATAAGGAGACTTGCTCTTTCCCCGCTGGAGGGCGGGGCCCATATTCCAACGGTACTTTTCAGTGCCACCAAAGTTTCGATCAAAGAGCATTTTCTCCCTTCCCCGGATGTGACAGCTCAAGCCCTGCCAGTCTGGGACGCGCTGCCTCTCAGCTCGCAGGGTTTGCATGCTCCACCAGTGGCTCTCGGGCGCTGGGGGGATGGTCTCTCTTCTCCCAGCCCCCAAGCCCTCTCTCAGGAGTCAGGGTGCGGAGCCAGAGCAAATCGCTCTCCTCCAGCTCTTCTGCGGGACCCTCGCGCTCCCCGGATCAGAACACCCGCTCCGCGCTGCCCCTCCGCGGGTACGTCAACGATTGCTGCGATGACGTCATTAGCGAGGGCTCTGCCTGCCTAGTTAGCGCGGGCCAGCCCCTCGCGGTGGCTCATACGCACGATCAGACTCGGCTACGAACTACAGTTCTCCAAACGGCCTCCCAGGTTCACGGGCGTGTATTTCACCAGGGTCAATCCCCTGTCCGCCCCTGTATTGCGAGAGGAGATTGCTGCCCTCCTGGCGAAGGGTGCAATCGAGCCGGTACCTCCAGCCGAGATGGAGAGCGGGTTTTACAGCCTGTACTTCATCGTACCCAAAAAGAGCGGTGGGTCACGGCCAATCCTAGATCTGCGCGTTTTGAATCGCTGCTTTCACAAGCTGTCGTTCAGAATGCTTACGCAGAGGCGCATCCTCCGATGTGTTCGTTCTCAGGATTGGTTTGCAGCCATAGACCTGAAGGACGCGTATTTTCATGTCTCCATTCTTCCGCGCCACCGTCAGTTTATGCGGTTCGCGTTCGAAGGTCGAGCATGGCAGTACAAGGTCCTCCCCTTCGGGCTCTCTCTGTCTCCGCGGGTCTTCACCAAACTCGCGGAGGGTGCCCTAGCGCCTCTGCGGCTTGCGGGCATCTGCGTACACAATTATCTCGACGACTGGCTGATTTTAGCCCACTCTCGGGAGCAATTGACTGCGCACAGAGACGAGGTGCTCCGGCATCTCCGCCTATTGGGGTTGCAGGTCAACTGGGAAAAGAGCAAACTCGCCCCGGTGCAGAGGATCTCTTTTCTCGGGATGGAGCTGGACTCGGTCACCATGGTAGCGCGCCTCTCCGGAGAGCGCGCTCGCCTGCTGCTGAACTGTCTGAGGGAGCTCGACAGCAAGTTAGTGGTCCCACTGAAATATTTTCAGAGGCTCCTGGGGCATATGGCTTCTGCTGTGGCTGTCACGCCGCTCGGATTGCTCCATATAAGACCACTTCAGCACTGGCTTCAAGATCGAGTTCCGAGACGCGCATGGCATGCGGGCACACACCGAGTCTCTGTTACTGCGCTGTGTCGCCGCACCCTCAGCCCCTGGAACGACCCCTCGTTCCTGCAGGCCGGTGTGCCTCTGGGACAGGCGTCCAGTCATGTTGTTGTTTCGACAGATGCTTCCAGCACAGGCTGGGGAGCCGTGTGTCGCAGGCATGCAGCTGCGGGCCTGTGGGTAGGTGCCCAGCTGCATTGGCATATCAATCGCCTAGAGCTGTTGGCAGTGTTTCTTGCTCTCCGCCGTTTTTCCCCGGTGCTGGAGCAGCAACACGTGCTGGTCAGGACGGACAGTACGGCGGCGGCGGCGTATATCAACCGCATGGGGGGTATGCGCTCCCGCCGCATGTCTCAGCTCGCCCACCGTCTGCTCCTCTGGAGTCACCCGCGGCTGAAGTCGCTGCGCGCCATTCACATCCCAGGTATGCTCAACCGTGCAGCCGATGTGCTCTCACGGCAGCAGATTCACTCTGGAGAATGGAGACTCCACCCCGAGTCTGTCCAGCTAATATGGGCGCGATTCGGGGAGGCCCAGATCGATCTGTTTGCTTCCCCCGAGAACGCTCATTGCCAGTTGTTTTACTCCCTGACCGAGTGCTCTCTCAGCACGGATGCACTGGCCCACAGCTGGCCTCGGGGCATACGCAAGTATGCGTTTCCCCCAGTAAGCCTGATCGCGCAGTTAATGTGCAAGGTCAGGGAGGACGAGGAACAGGTTCTGTTAGTTGCGCCCCTCTGGCCCAACCGGACCTGGATATCAGAGCTCTCCCTCCTTGCGACGGCCCTCCCATGGCAGATCCCTTTGAGAGAGGACCTACTTTCTCAGGGACAAGGCACCGTCTGGCACCCTCGTCCCGATCTCCGGAACCTCCACGTGTGGTCCATAGATGCGAGGAAGACTTAGGTAACCTGCCGCCTGCGGTGGTTGATACCATCACTCAGGCTAGAGCCCCCTCTACGAGGTGCGCCTACACCCTGAAGTGGAGTCTATTCACTGAGTGGTGTGTCTCTCGCAGAGAAGACCCCCGATCTTGCCAGATCAGTGTTGTGCTCTCTTCCTTCAAGAGAAGCTGGACAGTAGGCTGTCGCCCTCCACTCTCAAGGTTTACGTTGCCGCCATCTCCGCTCACTATGACGCGGTGGCTGGCGGCACCGTGGGAAAGCATAACCTCATCATGCGGTTCCTCAGAGGCGCTAGGCGAATTAATCCAACTCGCCCCCCTCTCACGCCCTCTTGGGATCTCGCCCTCGTTCTCACGAGCTTGCGATTTGATCCCTTCGAGCCACTCGATCCAGTATCTTTAAGATTTCTGTCCCTGAAGACAGCTCTGCTGGTCGCGTTGGCCTCCTTTAAGAGGGTCGGGGACCTGGAGGCATTTTCAGTCAGTGACTCGTGCCTGGAATTCGGGCCGGAATTTTCTCTCGTTATCCTGAGACCCCGCCCGGGTTATGTGCCCAAAGTTCCTACCATTCCCTTTAGAGATCAGGTAGTAACCCTGCAAGCGCTGCCCCCGGAGGAGGCAGACCCAGCCCTGTCCTTACTTTGTCCAGTTTGCGCTCTGCACATTTATGTGGACCGTATTCAGAACTTTAGATCTTCTGAGCAGCTCTTTGTCTGTTATGGTGGACGACAGCAGGGAAGTGCCGTGTCTAAACAACGTTTATCCCACTGGATTGTAGAGGCCATTTCATGTGCTTATTTGAGCAGAGGTCAGCCGCGCCCCCCGGGAGTGCGTGCGCACTCCTCTCGGAGCGTTGCATCCTCTTGGGCGTGTGCGCGCGGCGCTTCTTTAACAGACATTTGTAGAGCTGCGGGCTGGGCGACACCCAACACATTTGCAAGATTTTATAATCTGCGAGTGGAGCCGGTTTCCTCAAGGGTGTTATGGACCTTTGGTGATTGAGGAAACAACTCGGTAGGTGTTGTACACGCTTGCGGTGCCTTTTTTCCCTAACACGGAGAGATGTGAACCCTCCTGTCTGCCAGTAAAGTTCCCCATTCGGTGAGCCCTGCAGATTCCTCCGAGGCCCCCAGCACTGACTCAGCGGAGGAGTCACTTGCTGGCCCACTACGTTGTAGGTCTGCCCGCTGGTCAGCCCGCTGGTCAGCCCGCGTTTTGGGTATAAGTGCCTGCTATGGCCGATCCCCGCTGGTGATCCCCATATGCTTTTCCGCCACGGTTAAGTTCCCCCCTCTGGGTGGACCCGTGCTTTCCCTATCTGCTAACCACCTTCTTATGCGCACTCCCCCTTCTCAGGGTTAGTCCATATGTAATTCCATTTGTTTTCCCCTATTGGGTGCGGATGGTCTCCGCAGCGTCCTCCCTACTGGGATGGCACGCTTCCCAACGTACTGTCGTATTTCCTAGAATTATCTAGACGCTAGCGACTCCCAAAAAAATATACCTATTCCGTAAAACTTCTTTTGAAGTGGGATAAGTTAGGGCCAAGGACAAGTTGGAGGACTGCGCCTCTCATGATCTGGGTGCGTCACGCTTGCCTGATCGCTATCTCATGATGGGTGTTGGTAGGGTGCAGTCATTATGGCGCTTTCAATGGGCTCCCATACGTGGATTAGTAAATCAATCCACTTATAGTGCTGGAGTTCCCCCCGAAGGGGAACGTTCGAGGTTACTAAAGTAACCCTTCATTCCCCGAGGAGGGGAATGGAAGCACTATACTCCGTCGCCATAATGACTGTTCCTTAGCTGTTAAAAGTCTCTTCAGCTTAAAAAGGATAGCGTCTGCTGGCGCCAGGTGTGCTTATATACTTAGTTGATTGCATAAGCCGCACACCTGCGCAGGCTTGCGCTGCCAATTCATTCTTAATTGGCCCGTTCAATACTCTTTCAGACGAGCGGCTTCTGAACCGAATCCTCCCATACGTGGATTAGTAAATCAATCCACTTATAGTGCTTCCGTTCCCCTCCTCGGGGAACGAAGGGTTACTTTAGTAACCTCGAACGTTTCTGTGCCAACTAGTTAATGCCTGTTCTACCTGTTTGCTTTTATTCTTTCCAACATGGAATATGTCCCAATGAGAGTTTCTAAATGCGTAAAGCTGTAATCAGTTATAAAAGCAACTAGGAAAACATTGCTGTCAGGGGTTTGTTATTAATAAAAAATAAATAAATGAATAAAATTGGACTAAAACAACTTTGTGCCCTTTACTACTTCAGCCACTAGTACAATAAGGAATAAATAGAGTAAAACCAGTAAAAACAATGTAAAATAATTATAAAATGTTAATTATTTTAGTAGCCTTCACATTTTTCAACATATTGCACATGCACATATTTAAAAGCATTTGATAATTTATGTCTTTATTATGTCTTTTATTTACAGGTAAGTCAATTATGTCAAGTTTTGTATGAGTGCTTCCTGAAGACATTATGAGGTTGATTTGTCAGCAGCAAGCTTTTAAAAATCATGTCAGCACTGTCAGAAGTGAATCAGATTTTGTTGCTGTTGTGTTTTTGATAGCTGTGTTCTGTGTTTAGGGTGTTTGTGTTTGCGGATCCTGCAGTGTTTTCAGAGTCTCTCAGCAACATTTTAAAGGCTGACATTGAGACTCAAGGAATGTTCCGGAACCCATTGAACATGATGCGGTGGGCTGTGCAGCACAGCCTTCAGGCGGTACTGGGAGAGGACTGTGATGGACCCACTCTCAATGATGCGCTGCAGGTCAGTGGTTTGCTTTAGAAGAGCTGATGTTTGGTCACTAGCAAGTCTAATGCCGAAATTAGCAGGTCTTGCTGTTGTTGTTGTGCAGTTTTGAGTAAAGTTACTTTTAAAAGTTATAGATTGCAATCTTAAGTCACTTTAAAAAGTAAATAAAAGTGTTACTTCTATGTTTCTTACACTGTAAAACCCAACAAGTTAAGGTAACTTAAACCATTTACGGAAACAAATTGCAACAAACCATTTAATTTCAAAAACTAAACATAATGAGTACTGTGAACTTAATCCATTTAAGTAACAATGCAATTTGAGCACAATAAAACCCAATAAGTGAAGAGAACTCAAATCATCTGAGTATTGGAAAACCCAATAAGTTAAGGCAACTCAAACTGTTTTAAGAAACCGATTGCAACCAACCATTTGAGTAAAAAAAATAAAAAAAACAAATCCATATGACTACTGTGAACCTACTCCATTTAAGCTGAAGCAATGAGGTATTTCATTAACTAATTACCTTCAATACTGAGTTCAAAACTCTTCAAATAAGTACAATTAACTTTCAATCAATTTTGAGTTAACTACACTCATTTCATTTGATAAAGTTAATTGTTGGCTTTAACAGTATATCGGAAGCAATGTGAAAAGGATATTATGGTATTTTGTTTGTAATAAAAATACATAGACATTTACTGAAGGCATCATGCAGAAGTAATGTCCACAAATAAAGGTTGGGCAATACTCAAAGTACTGCACATCCTGTTTTTTTCTGTCAATTGCTGGAGTTTTGGTTCCTTGCTACTGTTGCTTCTGGCTTGCTTTTTGAGTCAGTAGAGCTGCTCTTCAGTGGGTCATCTTTCAACAGTGACATTCATATTAAACTGAACTTAATCATTTTTAATGCTAAACTAGCATTGTAACTACTCTGCTGCCTTCTGATTTGCTGAAAATGTTACACAATATGAAATGTGGTTATAGCTTTAGATTTTGGTAACACTTTAGACTAAGTAACATTTCACACCATTTACTACTGGTTTATTACCTGCATATTAATAAAATTATATTAATATTAATATAACTTAATATTATTAAGATAAGATATTAATAACTTTATCAAATGAATTATAATATGAATTATTCAAATGGATTAAGTTCACAACACGCATTAGGATTAGTTTTTCAATTTAAATGTTTTTTAGCAATCGGTTTCCTCAAATGATTTGATTTACTTTTCCTTTTTGGGTTTTACAGTGTAGCACTTATAAAGTATGATTTTATTTTAATCCGTAATCCCACCCAATACCTAAACCTAACTACTACCTTACTAACCATCAATAAGCAGCTAATTAGCAGTTTATTGACCTAATATATGTATATGTGTGTGTGTATATATATATATATATATATATATATATATATATATATATATATATATATATATATATATATATATATATATATATATATATATATATATATATATATATTCTGTTTATTTATCTAACGCAGCTTTGACTTTATCGACATTATAAAAACCACTATGCACACTGTAACAAAATCCTGGTTGCCTTACATTTTTCAGCAATCAAGTTAACTTTACCAGTCTATGAGCTCATATTGTGTTAAACTGACTTAAAACAGCTTGCCTAACATATAAAATTAAGTAACAACATGATTAACTTATTTTTATAAGTTAATGACCTAAAAACATTTGCTGTCAGAGCTAATTGATCAAATAATGTTTTTTTTCAATGTAGGAATAGAGATGACTTGACTTAGTCTATTTTTTAGGCTAAGACTTTTTAGATGTCTATAAAATTTGATTTGACAGCCCTAAATCTCTTAGCCAACTGTCCTCTATCAAACTTCTTGCTGTAAAGAATGAATGTCAAGCATACAAACATCTGTGTTAAGTTTTTATGACAACACTCATTTGTGAACCTTTAACTGAGTCAAATGTCCGTTCAAACCACAGAAACTGTGCCCCTGTGGAAAAGTCTATGCAAAGAGACAGAAGTAATTATTTCCAACTGAGGTGGAATGGTCTGCACCTACAATTAACCTCTCAGTTCAACTCTGTAATTATAGTTGTGAGTTTATACAATGCTGGAGACAAGGGGTGAGTGTTTATTGCAGGTCAGCATCTTTATGTCTGTCCACACGCCGTTTATTTTTAGAAATCTTAAAGCAACAGGAAAGGACCATCCACAGGACATCCCATATGTGTCTGTTTGAATTATGGTTCTACGTTTATTTGTATGTGCATCTCTGCATGTGTGATTTCATGCTGTGTGGATGTTTTTGTGTCTGATTATCTGTCTATGCACATGACAGGACATGGAGCTGGACGTGGAGTCATACTTTAATGAAGTGCTTGCAGCAGTTGAACAAAGCACAGATGTGAACAGAGGTGAAAGGGGTCAGATCAGACAGAAACTGCATGAGTTATACCGACAGATCCTACGGTATAGCAGCAAAGGTAAACTACATTGTAAAAAAAAAACATTAACTTAAAATCAATTTAAAATTGTAAGGCAACTTGCTGCACTTTTTTTTCAACTTAAATTGAGCCATTTACAGTACTTGGGTTAAAATTGAGTCAACTCAACAAAAGTCTTAAAATTTTAATCAGAGTCAACTTTTTATTCTTTGTATTTTTTGTGTACAAGACTCTATTCTATTCTATTCTATTCTATTGTAATATATTCTACATATTCTGTGTACTTATTATCAAACACAAACAATAACTCTTGACAGACTAAAATAACTGTTTTTCTCTAATAAAAGACTGAGAGCTTTTTTTCTTTTTCTTCCAGCTCAGGAAGCAGGAATTGTTTGTAGTGTCATTATAATTGTTTTGGGTTTCAGGTCTATTGTCTGGCTCCTTGTGCAATGTTCCGCTTCCCAATCCGGAGATGAGTTTCCATCTGTGGTGGGAGGAAGAGGAGCTCTGTAAGTGGCACTCATTTACTAAATACTTTGGCTGGGACTATTTGCACTACTGGGATTGCAAGATAATAGTACACATATTGTAAAACTCTCAGTGTATTATGCTCAATATGATACAATAATATTTAAAACTAAATTTTAATACTTTAATTGTAAATAGTGGCAGTCAACCATTATTACTTACATTTAAAAAAAGGAATGTTTTAATTTGTTAGAACAACAGTTTTCACACAATTGAAGAAGTGCATATTTGCATTCATTCATTAGTATCATCTAGTAACCTCGGAGTGTCACAAAGGAACATAATGCAAATAGAGTGAGTATGAATAGTGAAGTAGTCCTTAGATGCCATTTTTGATATTTTAAGCCAAAATGTGGCATTGTTATCATTATTCTAAATATTTTAATCCTTAGAATTATCAGAATATATCACTCTAGCAGCTGGAGTCAAAACAGCCTTAATCACAGTTAGTTAGCTACAGTTAGTATAGCAAGCTGTTAATCAAACTGTTGTGGTTAAGCAGTGAGATACTTTGCTGTTCAGGAAACACACCGCAGTTTCAGTTTAAGGCTTCTCCAAGATGTAATTAAACTTTGGGTTCATCATGCCAAAAAAATAAACCAATTGTCTTTCCCCTACACCAGTGTCCTTGCTAATTAGGGGATTTAAGTTACTGTAAATAGAATGAAATTTACAGTAAACAATAGATGCTGATATGTTTTTCATTAATTCTCTTCTATTTTCTACTGATCATTTTTTAAAGTTGTGAAAATCAGATTCATCACTTTTATGTTTTGACACATCAAAATGTGTCTGATTTGTATAGATAATTACAAAAATAAGAGTGTTACACTTAGTCATTAAACTAATGTCAGTCATTTTAAAGACCAAGGGGAGGAAGTGAAACATCCCAATGTAAGGTATTTTTGAAAAGGCCAGAATGTGCTCTGTAGATGACACACACACATATGTACAAACGCATACGCACACACAAACACACAAACACACAAACACAAACACACAAACACACACACACACACACACACACACACACACACACACACACACACACACACACACACACACACACACACACACACACACAAATGCTGCTTGCTCAAACTACTTATTTAAATGGAGCTGAATCAACATAATTTTGAGTTTGTTTTTGTGACAATTAAATTGTTATGTACAACCCACTTACATTTGTAAAAACTATTAAGTCAACTTAGGGACAAAAGGATTGTGTAGGGACAAAATTTGTGTGGAACCCAGCTTTTTAACAGTGCATTTAGACTTAGAAATGTATGTCCATATTCACTAAAATATACTGTCCACTACATCGTACAATAGTCTGTTCCTGGCTGTTGATAACACAGGAGGATATGGTAACACTTCATTTTGATGGTTCCTATACAGAAAGGGTGTCCAAAGTCGGTCCTGGAGGGCTGGTGTCCTGCTGATCTTAGCTTTAACTTGTTTCAACACACCTAGAAGTTTCTAGCATACCTTGTAAGAGCTTGATTAGCTTTTTCAGGTGTGTTTGATTAGGGTTGTAGTTAAACTCTCCAGGGGCCTGTTTCAGAAAGCAGGTTAAGTTAAAACTCAGAGTAGTTTAACCCTGAAATGAGAGAAACTCTGGGATTTCCGTTTCAAAATGGCAGGTTTGTTAAACTCGAGAAAGCAGGGTAAGTCAAGCCTGTTTCTAAAAGAGAGTTAACTTTAACTCAGAGTCAGTTACCATGGTAACTTACTCTGTGAATCTAACCTGGTCCGGAGCAGGTTTTATTCTCTAAACTCTGAGTTTCTGTTGGTCTCCTCCCCTTTTTAAAGATGAAGCGGTATTTCTCGCATTAGTCTTACATTTCCACACACCTATTTTAGAGCTCATTTTGGAGATGTGCATAAAAAAGATTGATGGAAACGTCATGATTCACATAACTTTTGAAAATACGCATAATATAACATGTGCATAACTGAGTAGGGTAAACTTTTATTTGATAAGATGCACATAAACTACGAAGTGCACTTAACAAACTACAGTATGTACATTAAAAAATGGTTTGTTAGAGATGATGATGAAAATGTGTGTGAAAGGACAAACCAGCAGACTGAGCACACTGCAGAACATCTTTAATGCTGTTTTAGTCATTCTAAAATGCCTTTACTGTTTCAGTATTAGTGTATATTATTAATTACCTCCGAGCGTCTGGAGCGTGTCAAGATCTCCGCGTCTGGCTTCAAACGCCCCCACGTGTTCATTGTGTGTCAATTGTCTTCTGAGGCTCAGGTACATTAATTAAAAAAAAAAAAAATCATTGATGCAGCTTCTTCTACCGCAGTAATTCTGTTTTTACTGCTGATATTTGGTGCAAGTTAATCAGGAAGAGACGAATGTGTTCTCTTCGACTCTTTGATAAAAACGCTGCTTTATTTTTAGGCGTTATTCCAGTTTTGCACAAATTTATGTAATAGCCTGTATTTTGATGGAAACACAGATATTGCCTACATTTTTGTCACACACAGAACAAAGTCAAAGTACGAGGCTTGTCCTTTTTTTCATAAATAATTAGCTTAACCTTCGACATGCACTGTTACTAGATTAATGGGATTATTATTTTGTCTAAATTATTTTTTTTCTGCTTACCTTCTTAATGTTATATCAACCTCTATCACTTGATCAATAAAAAGGCAGACACATAACAAGTGCACTGTTAAATCTATTAAAACTGATAAAAGTGTAAAAAGTTTAGAAAAAAAGTATAAACGTCACACATTACATTACTTATTTTATTATACTTAAAATGTTTAAATACTTCAAATTAAAAAATTACGCATTAACTTGGGCAGCTGTTGTCCCACGCTGTCTCTGTTTCACTGATGGTTGCTTCATTTTAAATATATACACTCATATTTGCTATAACTTTGCATGAGCACATCAAGTTCAGCTGGAGAAAGAAATGCTGATCTCTTTTTTTAAGATGTTGCCATGGTCACTCATAATATCTGCGCTCCATTGATAATGCCTTTTTATAGTCACGGTGCGCGCGCTTAACTCTGAGTTGGTCTACTCTAAGTTGATTGACCCAACTCAGATCAGCTGTTCTGAAACCGAAAACTCTGAGTTTTTAATCTCTCGGTAAATCAACTCAGAGTTCAAGTTTAAACTCCGAGTTGTTTGAACCTCCTTACTGAAACAGGCCCCAGGACACAGGGCCGAGTGTGGACACCACTGCTATACAGTAAGTATGTGCCTGCTACCAGCAATAAGAAGAGTATTAAAAGTTAAGTTAGAGTAAAAGTCTATTTCAGCATAATAATCCTCAGGCTTTGTTGTTGAACAATTGCTGCAGCAGATGCAGTGATATTTTGCATCACCTTAAAATAGTCCCCAGCTATGTTACTACTAGATAAAAGCACTGTGTAATGTCGCAAGCGCCTGCTGCATCCATTGTACAGCAGCAAAGTTCTATTTTCTTTTTACACAATAAAAATCAAGCTTAAAAATTGGGAAATCTACTATATATATATATATATATATATATATATATATATATATATATATATATATATATATATATATATATATATATATATATATATATATATATATATATACACACATATATATTTATATATATATATTATTATTAATATTATTTTTTTTATATTTGAGTGCTAATAGTCTAATCCAGGGATGTTCAAAATCAATCCTGGAGGGCCAGTGTCCTGGAGAGTTTGGCTCCAACCCTAATCAAACACACCTGTACCAGCTAATCAAGCTCATACTATATACTAGAAACTTCCTGGCAGGTGTGTGGAAGCAAGTTGGAGCTAAATTCAGCAGGATACTGGCCCTCCAGGACCAAGCTTGGACACCCCTGGTCTAATCCGATTCAATGATTTAGCCTAAGCTAATTTAAAAATGTTCCTGCCAGACCTTGAGATCGGTTTAATGGATTCAAAAATAGTAAAACTCAACTGTTTAAATCTACAGGAGTTGTAAGTTTTTTTTTTTTTTTAATTAGGGTTAGGTTTTGTATAATAATTTGACATTTACTGGAAGTGTTAATGTTACTGTTGGTGGACCATTAATATGTTAGCAAATATAAGTTTATTGGTAACACTTAACAATAATAGTACATAAATATTGATGTTACAATATGTAAACTAAACATTACTTTATCATGAACTAATGATGAGTTATGTATGTGCTAATAATGAACTAACTGTAACATGAGTCACATGAGTTCATAAACCTTAATTACTTGTTAGTACATGCATTAGTTTATGATTAATTTAACCATCATAAATGCAAACATGATGTAGTAGTGTATAATCATTACGTGACCTTACTTAGAGGCACACATCATCATTAATCCATTTTTAACTACTCATGAATTCCTGCATGTCTGTCTAGTGGGTTTACACTGAATAACAATAGAAAAATGTTCTGTTAACGTCATCATGAACAGTTAAAACATAGTAGTTCATGAGTAGTTATAGGTGAGTTAATGGTCACATGCCACTTTAAGTAAAGTCATAGTTATACATTAACAGCTCATGAGTTCATGTTGGTTAAATTTAACTTAAACCTAAATGTTAATTGATACATTAATAAACAATATGAACTAACAAGTAATTAAGGTTAGAGCATGCTTTAACTCATCATTAATTCATAATAAAGCAATGTTTAGTTTACATCTTAATACATCATAATTCATGTATTGTTATTTTAAAGTGTTACCAATTTCTTAATAATGAATGAATGCTAAACATTTTGATCAATAATAAGTAAGTATTTAATAATAAGTATTTTCAGGAATTTATTATTTAAAAATACATCCTATAACACTCCTCAAAACTCATGATACCCATTCACTAAAATACAACACATCTGTTCCAGGGAGAGAACTGGCCAAATTCATTCGTTCTGGATCTGGGTCCTACAGTGAAAGCCTGTCTCTGAACCCAGATGAGTTCTACATGTCGGATCTGCCCACAGACCTCAACTCAGAGATGCCACGGCACTCAGTCATGTCCACGGACAGTGGGATTGAGCGTGACCTGCAGGGACCTGATACTTCTGACATGGAATTTATTGGAGGAAGGAGCCTGAACAAAGCTGAACAAACCTGTGGGCGACTTTCAAGACGTGGAGGAATCAAGGTGAAGCCGTCGATCACTGACAGCATGGCTCTGATGCAGGACGTCCTGGAGGAGACGGGCTCCACTGGCAGCACTGGGACTCTGCAGAGGAGAGCGGGCAGCAGTGGGACCACCTTACATAAAGAAGAACGCGACTATACTGCTAAAATAGTGGTGATGGGGGATGATCGGGTACTTGGAAGATTAGCCAGGGCGTACTACTGGTTAAGGTAGGAGACAATATCTACTCTATGCAGTGTGCATTTGTGTGTGTGTGTGTGTGTGTGTTCGTTTGTGTGAAGTTGTATCTCATGACATTTTATACTGATCTAAACATAAAGGGGTAGTTCATTCAAAAGAGAAAATCCTTTACTCACCCTTCACTTGTTACAAACCTGTTTTGAGTTTCTTTCTTCTGTTAAACAATAACAGATATTCTATTGTATTCTATTCTAATCTAAGATATTCTAAAGAAAAAAACAATAACTATTTACTTTAATAGTATATGTTTGTTCTACTATGGAAGTCAGTGACTACAGGTTTTAAGCTTCCTTCAAATATCTTATTTTATGTTTAAATGGAGAAACAAATTCATAAATGTTTGGAACTAATGGAATAAATAATGGATATATATTATATTTTTTTTCAATAAACTACCCTTTTAATATTACGTTAACTTGAACTAAACTTGCAATCATCCAACCAATGAATGAATACATGAATATATGAATGAATGAATCAATGAATCAATGAATCAATCAATCAATCAATCAATCAATCAATCAATCAATCAATCAGCTAAATAATCAAAAAATAAAATATACAAATAGTCTGATATTATAATCGACATAGTCCTAACAATCTGAAGTTTCCTTTCTATATTATTGTTTTCAGTTTAAATTATTATTTTACTTGACAGATATATTAATAAAACATTAATGTTTTCTATATTAAATTAATTACTCATGTTAAATATTTCTCTTCAGTAAATTTAGTTTTTTTTAAACAACTATTTCATATTCATAATAATACCTCCAAAAAATAGTTTGCTTGTAATTCCAAATAATGGTCTTGAAACAGCAGCAACATTTAGGTACAACAGTCAAAAGTTTATTTTACTTGTATGGATGTTAAAGAGTAAATATATACTAAGTTTACTAAGTTTATTTCTACTTATTAAAAGTCGCAAAAACCCACCTTAAAAGCAGGGGCTAAGATGCATTCGCCATAGCCGGTCCTCCCCTTTGGAACGCGTTGTATGCCGCTAGAATTAAATATGGTTATTTCACTGCAAATTTTTAAAGTCTAAATTAAAGACTGATCTGTCTCTTCCTGGGGGGTTAATCTTGTTTAGTTTGTTAAACTCTGGTAGCATCTTTTAACTAGGCAGAATTATTTAAAGGGTCTATTACTTTCTTGTTTTAGGCATTGAAACCAAACTGTTTTTGTATAATCTATCTAATCTATCTTTTATGCTCTTTTTTACATAATGTGCCTATTGCTGGTTTGTTTATTATGTCCATATTGCTTTTTTGTATTTTCTCTGTTAAGCACTTTGTGTGGCCTTGTGGCAGTTGGAAATGTTCTATATACATTAATTGAACTTAAACTTCTGCTATGAAAGCTTGTTTTAATAGCCATCATTTTTAAAACCTGAATAAAGCTCACAATTTGAAGAGTTCATATACTCAATATCAACTTATAAACTCACTATTGAGAGTTAGTATCTTGCAATTCAGATTTTTCCCTTCAGAATTTGATTTTGTATTTCACAATTAGGACTTATTTCAAAATTGTTACTCAACAATAATCAGACCAAACAATAAACTAAAAGAACTGAGTGTTTTAATATTCCTAAAAGGTGCAAACTGAGTTAACAACCATTAAACTAAGAATGAACTATGAGAAATGAGACCATTACTGTGCCATGCAATTCTGACTTTATTTATATAAATCTCCTAATTCTGCCTCTGTCTTTGAACAGAGAACTGAAGATGGATTATGAAACGAAATAAATTAGAATGGTAAAAAAAAAATATGTCTGAGGTCTGAGATGTGAGTCCTGTTTCTTGTTGTTTGTTTATGTTAGCTAAATATTAAACAAAAAACTAACCTTTCAGATCTCAGACAGTACGCTGACTCTAAACAGGAAGTCACATTTTGGGGTCTCTAAAACATTTCCGTTGTGGTCTGTGCAATTTGCAGCATTTTAATGTTTTTACTGTACATGTGTTGTGAGAATTTGCATGCAGTTGTGTTGTCTATTTGATGAAGATTTTATTTTTCAATTTCTTAGTGTTTTTCTTTTTCTTTTTTCTTTTTTGCAGTATATGCATGTGTTTATACAACTTGAGTTGCATGTAAGCTCTCGCCGCCACAATAAATAACAGGCTTTTATACAGACCTTAAAAATCTGATTATTTTCAGTCTATTGAAAAAGCTTCTTAATTCTCTGTAATGAGGAAGCTCTCTGTGTGTTTCCTTTTTCTAAATCCTCTAGATCCTTAAATGCTTGCACAGCTTGGCATTTAAGCTTTTGTTAAGATTGACTATTTTCAAATCCAACATTTTGCCTATATTTTACAGGAAACGGGAAGCCAGGAGACGTTTTCTTACAATGAAAGTCAACCTACAGATGTACTACATCCCTGTTGCTCGCGATTCGTCTGCATCCTCCCCTGTGAGGGTAAAGATAACTACCTTATTCCCGATCTTTCTCAGCTTCTGGATAAATAGTATATCAACTTATAGTGTACCATACACAGTGCATCGCTACATTTCATATTTAGTGTACACATTTAATTCATTCTTGTTATTCATTCATTCATTCATTCATTCATTCATTCGTTCATTTTCTTGTCAGCTAAGTCCCTTTATTAATCCGGGGTCGCCACAGCTGAATAAACCGCCAACTTATCCAGCAAGTTTTCACGCAGCGGATGCCCTTCCAGCCGCAACCCATCTCTGGGAAACTTCCACACACACATTCACACACACACACTCATACACTACGGACAATTTAGCCTACCCAATTCACCTGTACCACATGTCTTTGGACTGTGGGGGAAACTGGAGCACCTGGAGAAAACCCACGCGAACGCAGGGAGAACATGCAAACTCCACACAGAAACACCAACTGAGCCGATGCTCAAACCAGCGACCCAGCAACCTTCTTGCTGTGAGGCGACAGCACTACCTACTGCGCCACTGCTTTGCCGTCATTCTCGTTATTTTTTTTTCATAATTCTACAATCGATACCTAATAATGACAAGAAGTTTAAGTTTTAGTAAATTTATTCAAATTAAAAATATAGTATTCCCACTTTTTTGCTGTGACACTCTTCGGGTCAAACGCATCCTGTTCATCCTTGACTATATCTAAATTCACCTTCTAGTGGATATATGTGGTGGTCGAGAGAGCTTAACATGCTGCAATTACAAAAAACCCCGGCAATTTAAGAAAAGATCTTCATCCGCTTGACAGTATGCATGCTGCAAATCCTCACAACGCATACATATAAAAAATACACTGCATTTTCTCACATTGCAAACAAATTAATAAAAGATGCTGCATTTTCTCACAACGCAAACAATTTACAAAAACGCACAGTATTTTCTCACAACACAAAAAGAACAAAACACAATGGAACACAAGTGCCGTGACTATTGCTCAGTGAAGTTGTAGGTGATCTTTGAAAGAGTTTTTTGTTTGTTTATTTTAATTTCCCATGTCTTTAGTATTTATTAGTCTTAATAACCATAACCTGAATAGGTTTGTGTCATGTCTTTCATGTTGCGCTTTTGTAAAAATGTTTGCGTTGTTAGTAAATGCAGCACGTTTTTTTGTGATGTGTGAAAATGCAGCTCGTTTTTAGAAATGTGTTAGCATTGTAAGGATTTGCAGCACGTTTGCTGTCAAACTGATGAAGATCTTTTCTCAATTTGCTTGCTTTGTTGTTATTACATGTGTTTTCTTAAATCGCATCATGTTAAGCTCTCTCAGCCTCTGTACTATATCTCATTCACAATTCCCTACATTAGTTTACTAATGCAAGCTTTCACATTGTATTTTAGGTATTATCTTGATCAGGGGTGTCCAAATTTGATGTCAAAATTGATTTGAGCTCCAACTTGCATCAACAGACCTGCAGGGATGTTTCTAGAAAGCCTAGTAAGAGCTTGATTAGCTAGCCCAGGTGTGTCTGATTGGGGTTGGAACTAAACTTTGCAGGACACCGACCCTCCAGGACTGAGTTTGGACACCCCTGCTCTAGATGTTGAGTGTATGTTGGATATACACTTGTTCTGAGGTGGATTGTGGGATAGATTGAGTGCACATCAGAATGTCAACTACAAATGGTTGCCTCCTCCACAATGGAATGAACCACCAACTTCTCTGGCATCTGTTTTACCCGTACACTCTCTCATTCGGACACACACTCATACACTAGGGCTAAGTTAATCATCTGTACTCTGGACAGTGTGGGAAACTGGAACACCTGGAGGAAACTCACGCGAACACAGGGTAAACATAGGAAATGGCATAGCCAAGACTCGAACCAGCAATCTTCTTGTTTGAGCTTTTTGTGCTTACTACTGAGCCACCCATAATTTTGGATACAGCTCTTGAAATGTTTCTTCAACTTGACCGTTGTTCACATGTGGTAAATCCACTTGGTTAGAGAAGTTGGTAAAGACACACATCTGCCTACTGTAAATAAGGTCCAACAGATAACATGCATGACAGAGCTTATAAGTCCAATTGTCTAGACCTCCGAGACAAAATTGCATCAAGACACAGATCTGAGCAAAAGTACAGAAACATTTCTGCAGCATTTTAGATCCCAATGAACACAGTGGCCTCCATTATCCGTAAATATCATAAGTTTGGACCAGCATGGGGACACCTGGCCAAATTGAGTGATCGGGAGAGAAATAAAAATCTTGATGGTCACACTGACAGAGCTCAGAGAAGAACCTTCCACAATTCTTCAATAAAGTATTAAGATTTTAAACAGACTTATTTCACGTTGTCAGTATGAGGTATTATTTGTAGAATGACAGCATGGTGGCTAAGTGGTTAGCATGATTGCCTCACAGTAAGATGGTTTGAGTTCTGGTTGGACCAGGAGGCCTTTCTGTGTGGAGCTTTGATGTTCTCCCTTTGTCATGGGTTTCCAGGGGTGCTCCAATTTTTTCCACAGTCCAATAACTTAAGATCTAGGTTAATTGGATAATATAAAATGACTGTAGTGTGTGAAGAGGGTGTGAAGAGGGTGTGTGTGCTTCCCAGCACCGAGGGTTGAACTGGTTTTTGATAGGAAGGAAATCGTTCGGGGTTACAGAAGTAACCCTTCATTCCCCGAGGAGGGGAACGGAAGTGCTATTAAGTGGATTTGATCTTTGTGAAAATCCACGAAATGGGAGGATTCGGATCAGAAGCCGCTTGTCCGAAAGAGTATTAAACGGGCCAATGAATGCAATGAATCGGCAGCGTAAGCTTGAACAGGTGTTCTTCATAGCCAATTATCCCAGCATTTAAGTACACCTGGAGCGAGCAAACGCCATCCTTTTAAGCTGAAGAGACTTTCAAACAGCTAAGGGACAGTCATTATGGCGACGGAGTATAGTACTTCCGTTCCTCTCCTCTGGGAACAAAGGGTTACTTCTGTAACCTCGAACGTTTCCCTTCGTTTGGGGAACTTCAGTGCTATTAAGTGGATTTGATCTTTGTGAAAATCCACGAAATGGGAGAACTATGGAAAGCGCCATAATCACTGCACCTTACCAACGCCCCCGATGAGGGGTTTGTCAAGCAAGCGTGATGCACCCACATCATGGGAGGCGCGGTCCTCCAACGTGTCCCTGGCCCTAATTTATCCTACTTCAACAGAAGTTTTACGGATTTAGATATATTTTTTGGGAAGTCGTGAGCATCTAGATAATTCTAGGAAAATACGACAGTACGTTGGGAAGCGTGCAATCCCGATAGGGAGGACGCTGCGGAGGCCATCCGTTACCCAAGGAGGGATAGATGGCAGAATTTACATATGGACTAGCCCTAAAAAGGGGGAGTACGCATAGCAAAGAGTGGTTAGCGGAGAGGGAAGACACGGGTCCGCCCAAGGGGTGGGGTGGGGGGGGGGGGGGTGGAGGGGGAATGTGGGACTGAACCGTGGCGGAATGAGCATATGGGATCGCCTAGTGGGGATCACACATAGCAGGCACCTATACCCAAAACGCGGGCTGACCAGCGGGCAGACCTACAACGTAGTGGGCCAGCAAGTGACTTCTCCGCTGAGTCAGTGCTGGGGGCCACGGAGGAATCTGCAGGGCTCACCTGACGGGGAACTTTACTGACAGATAAAAAGGCGCACGTCACTCCGTGTTAGGGAGAATGGCGAAGCAAGCGTGTTTCAACACCCTACCGAATTGTTTCCTCAATCACCAAGGGTTACCTAATACCCTTGAGGAAACCGGCTCCACTCGCAGATTGTAAAACCTTGCAAATGTGTTGGGTGTCACCCAGCCCGCAGCTCTACAGATGTCTGTTAGAGAGGTGCCGCGTGCGCGCGCTCGAGATGATGCTAAGCTCCGAGTGGAGTGCGCACGCGCTCTCGGGGGACGCGGCTCACCTCGGCTCTGATAGTGAAGAAGGCATCCACAAACTAGTGGGAACTTATTTCGATATGGCACTTCCCAGCTGCCGACCGCCATAACAGACGAAGAGCTGCTCAGATGATCTAAACTCTGAGTGCGGTCCGGATAATACGCAAAACGCGAACTGGACAAATAAAGAAGGGCTGGGTCTGCCTCCTCCGAGGGCAGCGCTTGCAGGCTCACTACCTAGTATTAAAACGGAGTGGTAGGAACCTTGGGCATATATCGCAGGACGTGAGAGTAAGCCAGCCCAATTACAGGCACTAGTCACCGACCGAAAAATGCCTCCGGGTCCCCGACCCTCTAATTGATATCAACGCGACCAGCAGAGCTGTCTTGAGGGACAGAAAGATACTGAGTCGAGGATCGAAAGGATCTGACGGGGCTTGTGTAGCGAGTGCGAGATCCTAAGAGGGCATGAGAGGGGGCGGGGTGGATTAATTCGCTTAGCGCCCCTGAGGAACCGGATGATGAGATTATGCGTTCCCACGGTGCTGCCAGCCACCACGTCATGAGAGCGGAGATGGCAGCCACGTAACCTTGAGTGTGGAGGGCGACAGCCTGCTCTCCAGCTTCTCTCGGCGTAAAGAAAGCACAACGCTGATCTGGCAAATTACGGGGGTCTTCTCTGCGAGAGACACACCATTCAGTGAATAGACTCCACTTCAGGGCATAGGCGCGCTCGGGGAGGGGGCTCTAGCCCGAGTGACGGTATTAGCCACCGCAATCGGAGGTTACCTAAGTCTTCCTCGCGCTTTAAAGATCGGCGAGGGTGCCAGATGGTGCCCTGTCCCTGAGAGAGTAGGTGCTCTCTCGAAGGGACTGCCAGGGGAGGGCTATCGCGAGGGAGAGCTCTGACATCCAGGTCCGGTTGAGCCAGAGGGGCGCAACCAGCAACCTGTTCCTCGTCCTCCCTGACCTTACACAGTAACTGCGCGAGCATGCTCACTGGGGGAAACGCGTATTTGCGCATGCCCCAAGGCCAGCTGTAAGCCAGTGCATCCGTGCCGAGAGCACTCGGTCAGGGAAAGAACAACTGGCAATGAGCGATCTCGGGGGAAGCAACAGATCGATCTGGGCTTCCCCGAATCCCGCCCATATTAGCTGAACAGACTCGGGGTGGAGTCTCCATTCTCCAGGACGTAAGGCTGCCGTGAGAGCGCATCGGCTGCACGGTTGAGCTTGCCTGAATATGAATGGCGTGCAGCGATTTCAGCCGCGGATGACTCCAGAGGAGCAGACATGCGGCGACAGCGCATACCCCCCATACGGCTGATATACGCCACCGCCGCCGTACTGTCCGTCCTGACCAGCACGTGTTGCCGCTCCAGCACCGGAAAAAAACGGTGGAGAGCGAGGAACACTGCCAACAGCTCCAGGCGATATGCCAATGCAACTGGGTACCTTCCACAGGTCCGCAGCCGCATGCCCGCAACGCACAGCCCCCCAGCCCGTGTTGGAAGTGTCTGTTGAAACGACAACAAGACTGGACGCCTGTCCTAGAGACAGTACAGCATCAGCTGAGCGCGCTCTCCGGAGAGGCGCGCTGCCATGGTGACCGAGTCCAGCTCCAGCCCGAGAGAAGAGATCCTCTGCACGGGGGCGAGTTTGCTCCTTTCTCGGTTGACCTGAAACCCCAACAGGTGGAAGTGCCGGAGCACTTTGTCTCTGTGCATAATCAATTGCTCCGAGAGAGGGCAAAAATCAGCCAGTCATCAAGAAAATTGAGTATGAAGATGTCCGCGAGCCGAAGGGGCTCTAAGGCACCCTCCGCTAACTTGGTGAGGACCCGCGGAGACAGAAAGAGCCCGAAGGGGAGGACTTTGTATTGCCAAGCTCGACCTTCAAACACAAACCGCAGAAACTGACGGTGGCGAGGAAGAGTGGAGACATGGAAATACGCGTCCATCAGGTCTAATGCTGCAGACCAACCCAGAGGACGAACGCACCAGAGGATGCGCTTCTGCATGAGCATTCTGAACGGCAGCTTGTGCAGACAGCGGTTCAAAATGCGCAGATCTAGGATTGGCCGTGACCCACCGCTCATTTTGGGCACGATGAAGTGTGGGCTGTAAAACCCGCTCTCCATCTCGCCTGGAGGGAGCGCCTCGATTGCATCCTTCGCCAGGAGGACAGCAATCTCCTCTCGCAAGACAGGGGCGGACAGGGGGCTGACCCTGGTGAATACACACTCGTGACTTGGGGGGGCCGTTTCACAAACTGAATCGCATAGCCGAGTCTGATTGTGCGTATGAGCCACCGCGAAGAGCTGGCCCGCGCTAACCAGGTAGGCAGAGCTCTCGCTAATGGACTCATCGCTACAATCGCTGACGTACCAGCAGTGGGGCAGCGCGGAGTGGGTGTGCCGATCCGGGAAGCGCACGGGTCCCACGGAAAAGCTGGAGGTGAGATATTTGCTCTCACTCCGCACCCGAGCTCCGGAGGGGAGGCTCAAGGAGTGGGAGAAAGGAGACCGTCCTCCCAGCGCTCGTGAGCCACTGGCGAAACGCACCAAATCTGCAAGCTAGAAGGCATAGCGTCCCAGACTGGCAGATTTTGGGCTGTCACATCCGAGGAAGTGGAAAAGTGCTCTTTCATGATGTTTTCATGGCAGTAAAAAAGTGCCGTTGGAAATGGGGCCCCGCCCTCCAGCGGGGAAAGAGCAAGTTCCCTCTTCTCCAGATGGCCTGTCCCAGGGACGCTTCGCGGTCCGTTGCCGGACTTAGCGGCGTTCTGGGCAGGGGGGCTGCCTGCTTCCGAGGTGCCCGACGCGCTCGCTTCGCCAGAGGCGTGTGCGGGGGCCGGAGCAGCTCTCGTAGAAGGGCGCCTTTGGCGAGGAGCAGGTATGAATGGCACGGCGGGCGGAGCGGGCTACAAAGCGCCGATAAGACATCACCCACCAACTGCTCTCTCACCGCCTTGAATTCCTGGGTGAATTCACAGACAGTGTCGCCGAACATGGCTTGGGATATGGGGAAGTCAAGAAAGCGGACTTTGTCGACTTCGCGCATATCAGCCAGGGGTGGCGCTCCTGGATCACTAATGTGGACATCATCCTCCCCAACGCACACGCAGCGCACACGCAGCGGACTCAGTAGTCCGAAGAGCTAAGTCGGCGGCGGTGCGAAGCTCGTAAGCCTGGGTTGGACCCACCCTCGTGCAGCTCGGCCAGCGCCTGCGCTTGGTAGCGCTGGTAGGTGGCTATCGCATGCAAGGCGGAAGCAGCCTGGCCCGCAGCTATGTAAGCTCTAGCTCTGAGGGAGGCAGATAACTTACAGGCTTTGGATGGGAGACGAGACGGACCCTGCCAAGAAGAGGCGCCGCGCGGATTGACCGCCATCGCGCACTCAACTTGAGGAATCGCCACATACCCCCTGGCTGTTCCACCATCAAGAGTGGTGAGGGTGGAGGGACAAGCAGCACGAGCAGAAAAAAAGTGCTTTTCAAGACTGCGTGAGCCTACTGTGCACCTCCGGGAAGAAGGGAACTAGTCGGTAGTCGGAAGCAGCCCGGGAAAGCACGGCTAACATGTCCGTTTCAGGATCCGTAGTGACAGCGCTCACCAGCCCGAAGGGGGCGAGCGGGTCTGGATCATCATCGGACAATGAAAGCCCACCCTCCGATGCCACGGTGGACGTCTGGTCTCCGGTGTCATCGGGCGTAAGGGCTACCATCTGTTAGACGGATCGCTTCCCCCGCCCGAAGCTTGGATGGAGCGCTTAGAGGAGCGGGAGGTCCGCGGGCCCTTGGGCGACGGATTATCTCTCGCTGAAACCCTCAGATCTGCCCGAGTGCCCGCTGCAGAGCAGGAGACAACTGGGGTGGTTCGCCCTTTTGCAAAGGCTATCCGCGATCTTGCGCAACAGTCATGGCATCGCAATGACGACATGAACTGCCCGCGAGCAGCGCATTAACATGCTGGACCCCCCAGGCATGTAACTCAGTGCCCGTGCCCATCATCCGAGGACAGGAAACCACCGCATCCAGAAACGCACAGTCGGAGCGCCGTCCTGAAAAGGATGTGCTGCACGACTGTGTTGCTCTTTCTGTGAAGTTTGCAACTTTATACGCACCGCTCTGGAGGACTGGACCCAAAGAACGCCAGGCAAGGGAGAAACCCAGCTCGACCGTCTGCCGCTGCATGTACACACTCTGGACCGGGAGAATACTCTCGTTCGCTCAGAATCGCTGGTCACAGCAGGAGGAAAACCCTCATCGACTCGATCAGAAAGTCTCTGAAGCGAAAATGATGGCGTTTGCTCGCTCCAGGTGTGCTTATATGCTGGGATAATTGGCTATGAAGCACACCAGTGCAAGCTTACGCTGCCAATTCATTGCATTCATTGGCCCCTTCAATATTCTTTCAGACAAGCGGCTTCTGATCCGAATCCTCCCATTTCGTGGATTTTCACAAAGATCAAATCCACTTAATAGCACTGAAGTTCCCCAACAGAAGGGGAACTGATGTTAAAACATAAACCAGAGTAATTGGTGATTCATTCTGCTGTGGTGACCCTTAATTAAGCAGGGAATAAGCTGAAGGAAAGAGTGAGTATTTGTAGAATTTTAATGGAAAATAATAAATCAGATTTATTTTGGAATACGTCTGTAACAAATTATGGAAAAGTAAAGTGCTGTGAATTTTTTTCAAATACATTGTGTATATATTTTTATAGATGTGTAATGTGTTTTAGGAGAATTTGCCTTCTAAAAGCATCAACATCTGTGCTCTGGGCTCATATCTTGGAATGGTGGATCCATGGTACGAATGCAATGTGTGTAGTCTTGGACAGATGATTCCTGATTTTGCAAGAACGGTATGTCATAATTCAGCATAATAACTATTCTTGGGTAAAACATACAGAGATCTATTCTTAGTTAAAGATGTCAGTCAGTGGGGAATGAGGAAGTCTTAAAGTTTCTTTTTCAGGTATTTTTTTATCTTCATTTCCTTGTATAAATGCAAAGCTAGCAACCATTCATTGTGAAGAACTTCCTCCTCTTATTATTTTATCTAGCAGTCTTTTTTTGTACTAATGTGTTAAGCTGTTTGTTGCTTGTGAATATTTAAACGCAAACCTATTTACATAACTATGGTACCAATATACAGTTAAAGTCAGAATTATTGGCCCCCCTGAATTATTAGCCCCCCTGTTTATTTTTCCCCAATTTCTGTTTAACGGAGAGAAGATTTTTTCAGCACATTTCTAAACATAATAGTTTTAATAACTCATTTCTAATAACTGATTCATTTTATCTTTGCCATGATGACAGTAAATAATAGTTGACTAGATATTTTTCAAGACACTTTTCTACAGCTTAAAGTGACATTTAAAGGCTTAACTAGGTTAATTAGGTTAACTAGGCAGTTTAGGGTAACTAGGCAAGTTATTCTATAACGATGATTTGTTTTGTTGCCTATTGAAAAAAAATATCCTAAAGGGGCTGATAATTTTGATATGAAATGTTTTTTTAAACTGCTTTTATTCTAGCCAAAATAAAACAAATAAGATTTTCTCCTGAAGAAAAAATATTATCAGACATACTGTGAAAATGCCCTTGCTCTGTTAAGCCTCCTTTGGTGAGGTTTTTTTGGTTTAAAAAATAAAAAAAATATTAATAATAAAAAGGGGCTAATAATTCTGACTTCAACTGTACGTGCCATTAAGTATAGTTTAATAAACAATACTTTTAATTTAGTAGTCTGCTCATTACCTAAACAATATATTTTATGTTCTTAAAAAGTACATTTCAGTGTAATATATGTGGCCATTTGTTTATATCTCAACTCAAATTAAATGATAAGGGTATTATGGTTACTATATATTGAATAAGGACTTTTAAAGTAATACATCTTAATATCTGATTACATCATTACCTGATTTTGTTCTAAAATAAGGCTAAACTGAGAAAAGTTTATGATAAACTGAAACACTGTGACGCATTTAAATTTTTTTATAGTTACATATTCATAATGATGAAGTTGGAACTTGGTACATTTATTTTAATTTAAATGTGGTACTGATTAAAAGTAACTGGTAATAACTGAATTTACCAAAAAAATACTTTCAGCAAAAATTATTAAAATATAATGTATTAAATATGTTTGTGTTAAACATAAAACTATATTGTCTTATATTTCATTAAAGTCTATTATCTGTGTGTTTCTTTCTTTATTTCTTTCTTTCTTTCTTTCTTTCTTTCTTTCTTTCTTTCTTTCTTTCTTTCTTTCTTTTACAAGAATATATAGACATTGCTCCCTATTAATGATGTTAAAACTTTAGATTATAACTTTAAATGCTTTTTTTACAAACTGTAAATGCTAAAACCTCTTCCTTTTTTTTCAACCTTCCAGTCAAGCATTGGTAAACCGCAAGAGCCTGACCTTTTCTTAGCTGACATCATCTCGTACTATGTGCGTATGGGACAGCAGCCAGTGTACTTCAACATTTACTACATCAAGGTGAGAATCAATGACCTGTTGTAGTGTTTTACGTAGTAAGCCTTTCATCATGAAATGAGAATCAGACGTTATTTAGTAATCCACATTTGTCTTCAATGATTGTCTGAGTCTGAGACTGGCAATGCATTTGTCACTTAAAATAAAATAGCTGTGTGATAAAATGAGCCACTGTTTTGTTCACAAGTAAAAATAACAACAGTTGAATGGACTACACAACACCTTAGCTTAACAGTCTCGTTTTCTGCTCTGTTTGTGCAGATTTACTTTTCCCACAGAGAAGCTGTTGAAGAAGTTTTTGTTACAGGTCTGGAAGTGGATTTCCCAGAGTTTAAAACAAATAAAGGTATGTGAGAAACCTTTTTGAAAGAGGTCATGAATTGAGAAATCTTGTTTCCTTGATCTTGAATTTCAGAGGTACTTAAAACATCACACAAATAGCACACAAACTTTACATGTACAAATTTATGGTTTATTTTGCTAGCACACATAATTAATCAGTGAAAGTTTATCTACTGAAAAAAAAATGTTTTGTTAATCTTTAATCACAATCTGAGAAGTCTTTCTCTCAAGATGTAATTTTGATGGCTTCAGCTACTGTTTTCTTAACCACGCCCCTCTTACTGTTAGTTTGCTATGAGGGATTGATGTACAAAAAGAAAGCTCCACCTCTTATTCATCACAAGTATTTAAACAAATTGGAGTAATAGTCTCAGGAACTTTTGGTTTATGCTGAATTTAAAGTCACAGTGTTCACAGCGTGTGTGAGCCATAATGGTAAAAATTCAAAAGCTTAATTTATTTATGAAATAATGTTTATACAAATGCTATTCAGTCAAAAGCAGTGATTGAAGTTTAATTTGCAGTTTAATTAATTTATAGATTATATTTTAAACATTTTCTGATCTAATTTAAATGTGATTTATTTCGCAACTGTTGACTTAACCTGTATTTATGTGAAGTTTGTGTGCTTTTGATTTAATTTTGTGTTGAACTGACACTTTGCATTCAAAGTGCAATGTTAAAAGTGAGAACTTGACATGCACCATATGTGTCCACCTACAAAGTAATATATCCATATGATAAATATGATGAAGTGAAACAGAGGTTCTATTTTTTAGATTATCTCTGCACTGTGAAATAATATCTGATACATTCTGTTTTCATATTTTGTGATTCTCAAGTGTTTTCTTTTTATTTATTTCTCTGCTCGGTCAGCTTTTGATATTGAAAATTCAATTCTACAGTTTAACAAAGTGGCTTTTACTGAAATTGTAATAGTTTAAAATAAAAAATGAATAAGAAATAATACATAGAAAATAAGTGTGTAAAATAGCAGAAAATGTACTAGCAGTTTATCATAACGTTTTTGTACCAAAACATACAATACCAACCCAGACAATAAATCACATTAAACTATTAAAAATTTTTTGCAGACTTTTCAAGGCTAAAAGTTGTTGGAAGAAAGATTAAGATATTTGGTTACATAATGTCATTCAAACGCATAAACAAATGAGGGGGAAATAAAAACATGAATCACGAAATACAGAAAACTGCTAATTTATGGATATTTGTTTACAGAATGGCATACGATGACTCCGCCTTCCTCTAGGAAGTTGGCGGGGAGTATGTAAAGACACATGCACACTAAGGCACAATCCCAATTCTATTTTTTTACCCTTCCTCTTCCCCTTGGTCCTTGAAAAAGTGTGTGAAGAGGAAGTGCTTAAAATTTTACCCCTAAGAAATGGGACAAAACTACAACACCTGCACATGTCATCATATGTCATCGCAATCGCATGCTACACATGAGATTGACGATCGCGAATGCTGTAGTGATTCAAGTTGCATTATTTTTTTGGTATTTATCTTCAGGAAATCACTGAAGTCAACAATTTCATGTTATCATAATGATTTAATGTGGCAATAAGATCATAACTGTACTGTGCATTTACACCGTGGCCATATTCATCTATGTAAACCAAAATCACAAGAAAACAACATTAGTACTGTACGTTAATGTTATTCCAGACACTGTAAAACCTTATTTCCAGCCACTAGACTCTTTTGACAGGGTTTTCTAGTGTCAAGTCATCAAGTGACAGATGTGAAAGTATGTTGTGGGATTGCTATACAGTTGTTATTATTATTGATTATAGATAGCGAAACTTAGCAGGGTTTTTTATCGTTTTTTTTTTTTTTTTTAACCTTGACGGTAAAACACGAACACCATTATGAATGTATTAAAACGGATGCTTGTTTGTTGAAAAAATTCATAATAATGACAATTCTGGGAAATGTTCTAACCCTTTGGTCCTGAAAAATCTCAGTTTTAAAAGCTATGTAGCCCTACCCCTTAGTCTGATGCCTTCAAGCTAAAGAGAATTGGGGAAGTGGATGGACTAAGGGGTAGATTTGGGATTAGACCTAAAACAGCATGCATTTTTTATTTTGTTTTGTTTTTTTAAGCTGTTCATGACAACTTTGTCTTTTTAACCATGTTTAGCAATATGTTCAGTCATCGCCATCCAAACTTTAGACTGGTAGTTTTTTTTTTTTTTTTGTTAATATTCACAGCCCACATTCTTCCTTCAGACACCTCCAAGCAGAAGAAGATGCCACCTGAACTGTGTGGGGCCCTGATCTCCTTTAGCTACTTAAAAGTAAGTGTCACATATACTTTCTATGTATATTTATGAACATCAAAATATTAAATTAAATGAAATATTAAATAGAATTAGATTTAAATATTTAATTAAATATTTAATAGAAATTAAGGTCAAAAGTGATATCCAGGGGAGATATTTGCTAAAAAAAAAAAAAAAAAAAAAAAAAAAAAAAAAAAGTTTTGTTGACCATAAAAAATGAGAAACATGATGTATTGAGAAAAAAACAGCAACATGAAGCTAGGTTAAAACTTGCATTAAAAAATAAGAACAATGTACTTATGTTCATATTGTATTGCACAACACTCAATGTGCTATTGAGGTTGGATGTGGTTAAGATTAGAGATTTTGTGGTATGGGTAGGTTTAATGGTGGTTAAAAGTGTAAGGGATGGGATAACAATATAATTATAAATGCAATTACAGATGTGATTATTATCATGCAGATCATTTTAAGTACAATGTTAAAACATGCATGTACATAAGTGCATTGTACCAAATTATTAATATAAATGTATGTACATAGTAAGGCTACTTAAAATTAAGTGTGACAATGATTTTTAACTAAAGGAAAAAATAAATGAAAAGTTCTACATTGACTACAATAAAGTTAATTATTAATATTTAAATTCCTCTCTCTCTCTCTCTCTCTCTCTCTCTCTCTCTCTCTCTCTCTCTCTCTCTCTCTCTCTCTCTATATATATATATATATATATATATATATATATATATATATATATATATATATATATATATATATATATATATATATATTATTGTTAATATTATTACAATAATTAGATTAATATGTTATAATAAAGGGTGAAAATAATATTGATTTTACTTGACATTACTTCTGGTCAGTACTGTATTGTGACTGTTGCTTTTTCCAGTGATTCACATTCTAGATTTGTTCTAGAGCCAAAAATGAAGTGACCAGTAAATCTTTGTTGACCCCGTTTGACCATTCACATTCCTTTAAGGTGTCGCTAAGCAACAGAGAGGTTGAGAAAGGGTTCTCACTCAGAACCACTGGTGCCCAGATTTCAGCAATACCACAAAACAAAACTGAAGGTAAACTGAAATACTTTTTGACTAAAACTATATTACTTACATGTAAACATATTACTTGTATATAAACATTCACCTCGACAAATTAAAACCAATGACAACTTTTTTTTTTTTTTTTTTTTATCACATTTTGTAGATCTTAACTGTCTTGCAGTCACTTTCAATGACACAAAGCCAAAGAGTAACACGGTAAGTCTGGCCGGCTCTTTTAAATTGAGAAAACTGCATGCTTTGAATTGTTTTATTTTCTCCATCGAAAGAACCAGTCTACAATTAAATTCATGTTAATTTATGATGCTTGTTTGTCTGCAGCTAAGAAAATGTAAATTAAGCTATAAAAGCTCTGTTGGTTTGCTATTTATTTGTATTTGCATTTATTTTCAGGAGTTAAAGATTAGGACATGCAGTTTCAAACTGAAAACGCCAGAAAAAACAACTTTCAGTGTGTGTTTGGACAAAGACTTTCGAAGAAAATTTATGGATGTTGAAAGGTGAGCAATCAGTGCTTTTTTATTTTCAGGTTTACAGCCATTAATTCAATTCAATTCAATTCAGCTTTATTTGTATAGCGCTTTTACAATGTAGATTGTGTCAAAGCAGCTTCACATAAATGGTCATAGTAACTGGATCAGGGTAGTTCAGTTTTTAGTATTTAAGTTCAGTTCAGTCTAGCTCAGTTCAGTGTGGTTTAAAGTCATTACTGAGAGTCTAAATACTGAAGAGCAAATTCATCGATGCGTAGCTCAATGATTATACCTTGATTATGATATATATTGGTATGCCTGTTTGGTCTAATTGGTGGCAGCATTGTGCGATCACTTTTGGCGATCCTACATGTGTAATTCAGCCACGGAGTGTTCCCCTCCCCCTTGGGTAGCACGTGGTCTTTGTAGCGTCTTCTCCCTTCGGGGACTGGAACACTTTCACAACGTTTTGTCGTATTTTAAAATCTCTAGACTACAATTAGCTAGGTTAAAGCACATTTATGCCTGCCAATCTAAATTCATTCTATAATTTTCCCATATAATGGTAATTTAGGAGCCTAGGGCACGTTGGAAGGATTTTTCTCATGGCGATGCCTTTACGCTCATGCTATGTTTGACTGATATATAGGCATGACAGATGTACCAGGGTATAGGTGTGACTGTTAAACAAATAGGCATGACAGATCAGCTGCTGTGGTGTTTTCCATACACTCTCCCACTCCTGTCGAAAGACACACATCAGAGTTCCCCCTGAAGTTACTAACATAACCCATGTTCCCCAAAGAGGGAATGGAGGCGTGTGTCTCTTATGTCACAGCAGCTGGATCTCCAGCTTATACCTGAGTGATCGGTTCTTCAGTGGCTAAAGTGTAGCAGCTCGTTCCGTACTGGTTAAATATACTACTAATGAATAATCCGCAGCACCTGTGGAGCTGATCTCATTGGCCCATTTTCTTACTCTTTAGAGTGATTGGTCGTTTATTGATATCCCATTCATGTCTGAAGACACATGTCTACGTTCCCTCTTCTGGGAACAAGGGTTACGTTAGTAGCCAAGATGTTTCTTCTATAATAAATAAATAATAAATAATAAATAAATCTTCATTATGAAGACTGCACTTTTTCATTTATTTGGTATTCAGACTTTGATTTGTGTTGTTTTATATTTTGTAACACAGTATTGAGGTCACTTCATGTCGGGACCCTGGATATTACGTTCAAAAATCCTTAAAGTCAAAGTTCATGACCGAAGATGCTGATGCTGGACTGAGCAAATACATGAGCAAAGGATTGACTCTGTCCATAAACACTTTTGCAGGAATAATCGATTAATGAACAAAGGTGACTATAAAGGCCAGTTCTTGCTTTTTGTTTTGTGTATTGTGTTTTAAACAGTGCACTGTACAGTTGTTTCTCCGTGCAATCAAACGATCAGTTAAGACACTTCACCAAGCAGGTTTTACTGCATTGTGTACTTTTCATTTGTGAATCACAAGTTGATCGTCGATCCAGGAAGTATTTAATCCTGTAACAGATAATTTACTAACACTAATGCTGTCATGGTATTGACTTTCTCAAAGAATTAAAGAAACACCCGATTTTGGGGGAAATAGGCTCATTTTACAAGTTACCTGGAGTTAAACTGTTGAGTTTACTAGTTTTTAATTCATTCCACCAATCTCTTACCATATCAGCTAACAATAAATCATTGAATTGGATTAGACCATTAGTGTATCATTTAAAAGTTTGTGTTATTTTAAAATTATAAGCATTACTCTTCTGTAATTCCATCATGCACTTGGACTGACGGAAAATGAAAATTTATTAAAATATTTTCTATACCAATATTAAGGAGCTCATGCAAAACCCGGAGATAATCCAATGTATGTAAATATGCTGTATATATTTGTAAAGTATTTTTAGTAGTTTCTGTATTTATGCATAAATAAACATAGTACACATGTATATATAATTTAAATAAGTTATAAAAATATATCTTTGATGTGATTAATCATAATTAATAACAGCACGAGTTAAAACCTTTAACGCTTTAACGGTTCAACTTTGTGACTTGTAAAATTAGCAATTTCCAAAAAAGTGGAGTGTTCCTTTAAGAGTTACTTGAATTTGTTTTTACCTTGTTCTCTGTATTAACAGTCAGCCTGTTGCTTAACCGTCTTTTATTAGGCTTTTACATCAATAATTGCTATATTTACAGTATGATACAGTATAATCAAAGAATTATGTGCTAAGGTTATATGTGCACACCATGGAGAAACTGACATTACCATTACCTGACCTTAATGATTTGCACTTCTTTGTTATATATTTAGTTTAATACTTTTATTTTGTGTATTTACATTTATATTTGGAGTGCTCCATGAAAATGACATATTTTTATACCTTAAAAACATTGTTTAAAAATAAAATGCGTGTGAAAAAGTATATTTTTTGTATTGTTTGTGACTGATGTATGCATAGAACAGCACTAATGTTACACAAATGGTTAACAGCTTTGAATGGCTGTGTTGTGCAGTAAGCTGCATGTTTCTTTGAAACAGCTATTATTGGTGTCACTTTGAGCTAACTTCCTTATATGATTATCTGTACAGTTTATGGGTTTATGGGTCATTTTCAGTTCTGACCTCATACCAATAACCAGTCTTCTGTTAAAGAACAAATTGATGTACTTTCAATTATAAAACTAGCCAATCTTATTCAGTTGTACTGTTATTTTAATGGCATTTATTCATGCCGAAACTTTGCACAGTTGTTAATTTGACCGCTGGTTTTGTAAATATTGTGATTTGATTTTGTAAATACCTATGCTAAATAAATGTTTTCATTGTATTATTATAAACTAAAATGTGTTGTTGTTGTTCTATAAATGTCCGCACGATGTCGCCAATGGGTCAGAAACTGCAGTTGAATCGCTGCCGGTGCGCAATGATGTCTAGATATCCCCTGCCGTAGCTATTTTCATCAGCAACGACAACCGCTGGATCATCATCCTTATTTTACCCTGCTCTCTTGCTAAGCATATCTCAGCTAAGTCAGGATTTGTGCATATATTCGGGTTTAGTTATTCATTCATTCCGTGGCGCGTGATGGATGAAAAACGCAGAGCCTCCTGTCAGTACGGATCCCTGGAATGCACGAAATGGAAAACAGATGTGGACCAAACAGGTATCCCTACACCTGGCTGTCATTGTAGCAAAACCTGTCAAAACGTATTGGTGAAAGGTATAGTAGACTACCAAACACTTGCGTTCTCTTTTTTATTAAAGGTTTGAGTAGGTTTAACGCCACAGGTGGAACTTCTGCTCTTGTGGAGATTGAGTTCAGGTAGATGAGGAGGTTGCTGTCGAGATCTGACAAGAGCTGAGTCTCTAGTTTTACCATTAGAAACTTAAACGCTTTACATTAAGATATTATTCCAGGGCCATGTTTTCAATTTAAATTGACTGCATACTGTAAATGTTTGGAATTTGCTTTGAAAATGTTCTAAAAATATAGTTAAAAACAGTTAAAGGACATTTCTGGAAGTATTTAATTTCACAGTAAATATATTTTACTAGAATAAATGTTCTATAATAAAGTATTATTAAATATACTTTTAAACTATAACAATATAACATTTATTTATAATAATAATTATAATTATTTATAATAATAATTATTATTTATAATTATTTATTATTGTGTAATTATATATGTAACGAGCATATAATAGCAAACACAAAATATACAAAAAAAAAAAAACATGCATTGGAAAATATCCAAATGCATGTCAAATGATAATAAAATAAATCCTTCTGGACCATATAAGTCATGGCTTTCTCAGCCAGTACAGGACATGGATTTGAATGTTTTGTTTTTTTTACTTACAGCGTGTTTTAGTCACGTCAGTGTTCCTGTTGTTAATTTGTCAAGCTACTTGCCTTATGACAATGCTTTTTAAACATTGTTAGCAAGCATTTGTAACTTAGATTTCCATTTTAATCAGTTCCTGGGGATACCTATTAATGGATTTGATACACAAGACCATAGGAAAAAGGCAATTTCATAGATGCAAGTTCACATAAATCATGACCACTTGACTCAACTCAACACATGTAGACACATCTATTGTAGACGTGGTCAAGTTCACTTTGGAAATCAAATGGGGGAAAAGGTGATTTAATTAAATGTGATGTGGTTATTGATGTCAGACGGGCTGGTATGATTATTTGAAAAATTGCTGATCTGTTGGTATTTTTTTGCACACAACCATCTCTGGGGTTTACTGAAAAATACAGAGAGGAAATTTCCAGTGAGTGGCAGTTCTGTATACAGTGAGTAAAAATCCATTGCTGATGCCAGAGGTCTGAGGAAAATGACCTGAGCTGAATGAAAGAATTCAAACAATATGCTACAGTGCATCTGGAAAGTATTCATAGCGCTTCACTTTCTTTTTATGCAACAGCCTTATTCTAAAATGGATTAAATTAATTTATTTCCTCAAAATTCTACACACAATAGCCCATAATGACAATGTGAAAAAAAGTTTTTTTGAAATTGTTGCAAATTTATAAAAAATAAAAAAAAATCTGAAAATACAACCATAAGTATTTACAGCCTTTGCTCAATAGTTTGTTGATGCAGCTTTGGCAGCAATTACAGCCTCAAGTCTTTTTGAATATGAATGCCACACGCTTAGCACACCTGTCTTTGGGAATTTTTGCCCATACCTTTTTGCAGTACCTCTTAAGCTCTATCAGGTAGGATGGGAAGCGACTGTGTACAGCCATTGTCAGATCTCTCCAGAGATGGTCAATAGGATTTAGTTCTGGGCTCTGGTTTGGCCACTCAAGGATATTCACAGAGTTGTTGTGAAACCACTCTATTGATATTTTGGCGGTGTGCTTTGGGTCATTGTCCTGCTGGAAAATCAACCGTCGTCCCGGTTAGGGCAGGTTTTCATTCAGGATGTCTCTGTACATTGCTGCATTCGTCTTTTCCTCTGGTCCGACTAGGGATGGTATTAGCCTGGTGATCAGCGGTGCCTGGTTTTCTCCAAAAGTAATGGCTGGCATTCACTCAATTTTAGTTCAATTTCAGTTCAATTTCAGTTCAATTTTAGTCTCATCAGACCAGAGAATTTTGTTTCTTATGGTCTGAGAGTCCTGCAGATGCCTTTTAGCAAATTCCAGGCGAGGAGTGGCTTCCGTCTGGCCACTCTACCATACAGGTCTGATTGATAGATAGCTGCACAGATGGTTGTCCTTCTGTAAGGTTCTCCTCTCTCCACAGAAGAACGCTGGAGCTCAGACCGAGTGACCATCGGGTTATTGATCCCCTCCCTGACTAAGGCCCTTCTCCCCTGATCACTCAGCTTATATGGCCGGCCAGCTCTAGGAAGAGTCCTGGTGGTTCCAGACATCTTCCATTTACAGATAATGGAGGCCACTGTGCTCATTGGAACATTTAGAGCAGCAGAAATTTTTCTGTAACTTTCCCCAGACAGTTTTTTGCCTCGAGACAATCCTGTCTTGGAGGTCTACAGACAACTCCTTTGTCTTCATGCTTGGTTTGCGCTTTGGCATGCGCTATAAACCCTGGAACCTTATATATACAGGTGCAAACCTTTTCAAATCATGTCCAGTCAACTGAATTGACCACAGGTGAAATCCAATTAAGCTGCTGAAAAATCTCAAGAATGATCAGTGAAACAGAATGTACCTGAGCTCAATTTAGAGCTTTACAGCAAAGGAAAAAGTTAAAGTTATTTGTCCTGTCTTTTTATCAATCTAATTTCTAAGCCTAAGATTAATAAGACTTTGTTTAAAAATACTTTACATGTGAGAATATCATTGTCTGATTTATTAATTAACCTCTTTATTGGGATTGGATGTAAAGGTTCTGTTTCAAATGCAATATGTGTTGTGCTTCTAATCTGATTTATTTAGTTATCATTGCGTCCAGTCAGAAGTACAGAACTTAATAGTACTTAAAACTTGTTTGATAATAAAATTTTATATTAGATTTTTATATAATTGTTTTTTATATTAAAATATGTTATACAAGCAAATTTACAAGAGTAAAGCATCAGCTCAGCTCAGTATCTGCAGAAATATTCTGAGAGTCATACAAAAACAACTTGAAGGCATAGATTCAACCTGCATTGTACTTTTCAGGATGGGGACAGAGGTGTAATGGTGTCAAAAATATTTTCTTGGGACATTTTGAGCCCCTTAGAACCAATCAAGCATTGTTTAAACACCACAGTCTACCTGAGAATTGCTGTAGAGTATGTCCATCCCATGATGACCACACTGTACTCGCCTTGTAATGGCTACTTCCTGCAGGATAATGTGCCATGTCACAAAGCCCAAATCATCTCAGCCTGGTTTCTTCTTAAATGTTGTCCACGTCAACAAAGTCACGTCACGTCAGCAAGGTGTAAGAGCAGCATATACACTCAAAAAAAAAAAAAAAAAAACATTTGAAATGAGCTGAAACAACACAATTCCTGAGCTTATTTGGCGACAGCTCAATTGTTTCATGTGCAATCCACCTAAATGTGTTAGGTTAACTTAATCATTTTGTGTTGGGACAACATGAATGAATTGAATGGAACACTGCGGGTTTTTTTACAGTGTAGGCTATGTGCAGCAACTGTGCATTGCTTTTATGACAAAATAAATCCCTGAGTACCCACAACACATATATCACTGTAAAAAAATGATGGGTTCCACACATTACCTTCATGTTGTCCTAATTGAAATTAAGTTATCGTAATCATTTTTACAAATTTAGGTCAATTGAACATAAAACAATTACGTTGTTCCACCAAAAATATCAAGAATTGTTGATACAGATCATTTCAAACACGTAGTTTGAACAAGCATTCATTCCTGCATCTATTTTCTTTTCAGCTTAGTCCCTTTATTAATCTGGGGTCGCCACAGCGGAATGAACCACCAACTTAGCCAGCATATGTTTTATGCAGCAGATGCTCTTCCAGCTGCAACCCATCTCTGGAAAAAATCAGTATACACTCATTCACACTCATGCGCTATAACTAATTAAGCTTACCCAATTTACCTGTACTGCATGTCTTTGGACTGTAGGGGAAACTGAAGCACTGGGAAGAAACCCACGCAAACATGGGGAGAACATGCAAACTCCACATTGAAACACCAACTGAACCAGCCAAGGCTCGAACCAGTGGCCTTCTTGCTGTGAGGCGACGGCACTACCTACTGCGCAGCCATAGTTTGAACAAGCAGCAAATATAATTTTTTGAGTGAATTTTTACTATTATTATTTTTTTTGAGTATTCTGACACAGTTGCACGAACATGGCATGACATCATTACATCAGCCATGTCAAAAATTTCCAAATGGCCTAATCTTTACTGCAGATACGAGTTTGTACGATACTGAAGAACAATGCTACCTGTATATAGCATGCTAAATAATGTTAGATTTTATATGTGACACTGTAATCCAAAGCCTCATAAATGTAATTTTGTTTTTGGAAATTGAGATTTATACTGTACTTCACATTATTAAATCTGAATAAATAAGTTTTCCAGTGATCTGTGGTTTCTTAGGATAGGACAATATTTGGCAGATACAAATCTTGAATCTGATGGTTCTGTTACCCCTAATTAATAAAGGGACTAAGCCGAAAAGAAAATGAATGAAAGAATGAATATAGTTCATTTTTAGTTTTACTCAAATACTTGACCTGACCACCTTGGTGAGGTTTTTTTTACCATAATTCACAACACCACTTATTTCCGTGGTGATGTGTCTGGTTTATCTCATAGCTTTAACAAGCAATGCGGTCATCTTTTTCTGAAGCTTCACCACACTTGCGCACTGTTGACTCAGTAGATCTGCCCACGGCACGCCTCCAGGCACTTGGCTTTTTCCAGATAGAATAGCAAAGATTTCTTTCTCTTATAAGTATTTGAATAATCAAAGACTTTCCAGAGAAACAATGTATGCAGTACCGCTCTACTCTAGGTAAAATAAAACTAAAATAGGTATTATTTTATTTTAAATGTATACTTTTTGCTAAAAGTTATAACCAACATATACTTTGTATTATTTCAATGGAGGTGTTCATGACCTTTTAAATGATTTGCTGTTGCAAAAAAGCAGACATTTTTAACAATATAAATAAATAAGAATAGATTTTACTACCGGTTTGCTTCACTGGTATAGTTTTATCAGCCTGAAAACATCAAGAAC